GTAATGAAATGAAATAAAGGCGTTCCAGTCCGAGCACATCTCTTCCGTGACTTGGCGCTCAAGCTCCACTCATTGCTTCACAATTAAAGTGTTTCAAGACGGACTCGTGACTAAAATTGGACGTTTCCATTCCCATTTCCCTTCCCGACAGGAAGAATGAACCGCGGAATGAAGAATTTCCTAACATCGTTCAGACCAGTTCGAATGCCGGAAGAGCGAAAAGCAGGTGAAAGCAATGAAGCGGCGAACAACGCATGAAGTCCATCAGCTGCATCTAGGCAGGAAGCATGGGAAATGGGGTTTTGTACTGGCCGCAGAGGACTCGGTACATTTCTAGGTCGACGGTATCGAGGTCGATCACCGCAATCCGCCTTCCACGTATCCAGGGTGAAAATGATTAACTCAACTGTGTAATTCATGCCCGATCGAAGGATACCTAATTCAAGATTGGCACTCAATCGCTCTGTGATATATTTGACAATTTGACGCCGACAATAGCAGACGTGTCGCAAGTCGTACTGTGAGTGAAATATTCCCAGATGTTTCGATTTCACACATTTTAATCGTGTTCCTGCCGCATGGTCATGCCAAAGTGAACGTTTCCTGCGGCTTCAGAGCTAACTCCACCGTTGAACTGAACATATTTGAGGAACGATTCATCCAGACACGTGAAGTGCCACATTCATGGCAAAATGCGATCATCGTCATGACGAACGTGAGTAGAAATGGACTGGATCGATCGGAATCCGGGGTAGAAGAGAGGGGCAGAGAGGCCAAAGAGGAAAGAAATGCCCGAAACCCATTTGCAATTGAGGTCGGACGGGAAAATGCTTGATCAAGTCAAGTCGTGGATCTTGGTCAGATCGTCTGTCAATGTCAGGACTTGGATGAAGACGTCATACCGGGGTTGTCATACCGTCGATATTTCTTATCTCGCAGCACTCTTGCACTATTATATCTGGGCCATTCCATAAGTTAGTAGAATTCGGTTGAGAAAACGAGAATGGGAAGCCCATTGACACGCGCGATTGTTTCTGGAGTCGCCACACCCACAAGGCATTCATCCAGTACACTTGTCTGGCCTACTTGAATCTTGTCCATCCACTTGTACACAGCTGCTTTCTACATACAGCGTTCGCCGTATTGTCCCACCATTCTTACATGAATCTCGCTTGGTTTTATGGATTTTGACAGTATAAATCTGATAACGGACCTCTGCTCCTCCATCGTGCATGCTGACGATGGCGCCGCCATCTTTATTATGACGAACAGTCATGCCAGATTCATACACCTATCTCATGGATGCAGAAGATGCCGTAACAGCGAGTTCACATTCATCCATGGAGAGAGAATGATATTTCTCCAATGAATGTAGAGACACAAACCACAGACAGAAACCGCATCCACCACCTCCTTCCTAAAACGCTATTCGGATATGGAAAACGTTGATTGTATGGGGTTCTAATAAAGGATATGAGCTTAATTCTGGCCTGGAATCCATGATTCAGTCTCGAATATGGGGATAGCGAATAAGGAAGTGTCCAAGTTTATCGATTGTCACAATGACGCGTATTGTTTCGTACTTCCCCGAGTGTTTCACTTGGGGAAGTACGAAACAATACGCGACGGAAGTACGCGACAATTAAATATGGAATGAATGAATTTAACGTTCCCACTATGCTGATTGAATAATCGTTTGTCATCTGGGTCGTTCCTCTTCCTCCGAACACAGTGACTGACGCGGATGGGGAGGAGGGGGGGAGGCGGAATTTTAACGACGCCTTTCTAACAATAATTTCTGCATCACCACTGCTTTAACAGATGTGCCGTTCATCACGGACTTATGAGATTCTCTTAGAAACCTAATAGACCATATAAGAAGTCTATTAAACTCCTACGCATTCTTACAGGAAACGTATGGGTCCAAAGTGCGTAGGATCTGGGGGGCGGGGGGGGGGGGGGGAGGGGACAGGGAGGGGAAATGCCCCACATCTCTCCAAATGGGGTGGCAAAAGGGCATTTTTTCCCCCTTACTCCCCAAATTTTTGCACCTAATAGTGATTTAAACATGGGCGGGTTGCGACTCAAGAACCTTCGTGACAATCAATGAGGTTTGGAAAGTAAATTCAGTTTGAAGCGAGCCCTTACGAAAATGTCCTATAAGATTCCTATATATTCCTTTAGGAATATATAAGAATCCTATAGGAATCCTATAGGTTCCTATAGGAGTTCCTATAGAGTTTAGTTTGGGACCTATAGAGTTCCCTATAGAACCTATAGAGTCCCCAAAGAGTTCTGAATAGGACCTGATGGTTTCACTATAGGAACAGTAGGGTTCGCTATAGGGCCTATAGGGTTCCCTATTGGGCCTATAGGGTTCCCTATAGGGCCTATAGGGTTCCCTATAGGCCCTATAGGGTTCCCTATAGGCCCTATAGGGAAGCCTATAGAACCAATAGGGTTCCCCATAAGGCCTATAGGTTCCTTATAGGACCCAAAGGGTTCTGTATAGGACCTATAGTGTTCGCTATAGGACCTATAGGATTCTCTATAGGACCTATAGGGTCCCCAATAGGACCTGTAGGGTTCCCTATAGGGCCTATTGGGTTCCCTATAGGGCCGATAGGGCTCCCTATAGGACCTGTAGGGTTCCCCATAAGGCCAATAGGTTCCTTATAGGACCCAAAGGGTTCTGTATAGTACCCGATTGGTTCCCTATAGGAACAGTAGGGTTCACTAAAGGATCTATAGGATTCTTTATAGGACATATAGCGTTCGCTATAGGACCTAAAGGGTTCCCTAAAGTGCCTATTCGGAACTCTATAGACCTATAGGGTTCCGTTTGAAGTTCTCCTCTTGGCCACTAGATGGAAGTATTGGGTTCTCACATTTCTCAAAGGGCACAAATGTGCCCTCCCCTTACCCAAGGAATCATCTCTCACAAGAGAGTTTTGTAGATCCCCAAATGTCTCGCCTTGCCTCATTGTATCAATCAATAAACTTCAACACTTCCTTATCCGTCATGGCCATCTTCAGATAGAATCTTGGAGTTCAGGCAAGAAATATGCCCTTATTCCTTTTGAAAACCACGTACGAGAATAAATTGACTCCATTGAAAGTGGAGTTTTTTTTAACACGTTGGCGACAATGCGTCCTGATGCCAGGATGCAGATTTTTTGTCAATGAATACCCTCTGGAACTGTTGAGAACGTTCTAGAAGATTATGATTTCGTAATTACTGATAATAATTCGAATTCAACATTTTAAAAAAACTCGGCAAAAAAAAAGTTTTCTGGGATCATGCGTCCTGATGGCAGGACGCATTTTTTGACAAAAAAAATGCGCGTGATCCCACGTGGCAGACAAGCAAAAATAGGCTGGTCGTCAACGTGTTAAGCAGGTTTAGGCCTAAAATCACATTAGATCTCGCTTGATCCCATGCATCACTGTTGGATCACCTCTTCCTAATGCTTGCATCTTCTCTCAACTTGCATCATACACCCTTGCTCTGTTGCAGATGGTTGTACAAAGCAAGTTTTTTTTCAACCCACTGCACTAAAAATCCTAGATTACTTAATCTGGCTGAAAACTGAAGGTCTATCTGATTTCAAACTCATATGGAATAATTATGGATTAAGTTTTAAAGGTAATTATATCCTGATCTTAATCATGCAGGGTGGGCCAAAAAAAAACAAAGCTGTCATTTTTGGTGAGTTACCAATCTGATTGTAGACTGCCAATTCTGATTAAATTTGGTAGGTTAAGTGAGTGGTGACACAATAGGGGTTTGTATGTCAAATTTCAGCCTTCTGGGTCTAAAATTATAGGACCTGTAATTATTTTCTAATGACCCACCACAAAATATGCTATCAAAAATATCGATATGAACTTGAGGTCAGTATTTGTGGAATACATGATTGCCTACCACAAAAAGCTGTCAGTTTATAAGCTAGGCTAGGTTAAGGCCAACCTGCTTACAATAAATACAATTAAAAAAGCCTAGGCTAGATCACCCAATATCTAGCAGGATTTAAAATTTCCTAAAAAGTATACATATTCCTTTCCTCATGTTTCAGGTGAAAGTGCATTGTCAAAAGTGCCTAACAATAATGACATCTTTCTCTTATTAAAAATGCTTGTGACTTGAAAAAGGATACGATACAAGGATAATTATGAGTGAATTTCCAAACAAACATTGGTCAAGAAGTAGGGTTGAATTTTTCATCTGAAAAATTGATGAATCTGGTGGTGAAATTTTGGTTTAAATTTGAAAATGAACACTTTCCCTTTTTGTGACTTAAAGTAAATTAAATGCCATTCTCAGAGGTTTTGGAATTTGGATTTTATACTCAGCAAACAAACCCAAAGCCCTATACTAAATTTCATGACAATCAGCAGGCAATCAGAATGACATCTCACCAAAAAAGATTTTTTTTTCTTTTTTTTTTAGCCCACTCTGTATATTAATTTAATCAGGAACCAAGAATCTATGCATGGATTATTTGATGACCTGAAAGGAAGGAAGAGATTGGCTCACCTGTACTGATCAAATGTGAAGTGCTGCACAAGATTCAGCTTCTTAGTCAAAGTGCATGTCTGAAAAGTATAAGTATATTCAATGGCATTATGATGAACTACTTTTTTCCAGATCTAATGATAATTCACAAATTGTGACAGTCAGTCACTCATGCTTGCTTGCTCACTCATCCACTCATTCATTCACTCAGTCACAATCATCTATATACAGTATATATAATATTATACAGTATGATCAGACACAAAAGAGGGCAAAAATGAACAATTTTTGCAAACTGAAGACTGATGCTTGAGGAATATTTGCCTTTCCACTCAAGAGGTGGGACTCTGCTTTCTGGTACAAAGTTGTACATTTATTTACATTTATTCATTCTGTCCAAAAAGTGGGCAAATTCTTGTTCTGAAAATTAAAAAAAAAAACTGTATATATCACTTTTTCCTCAGATCATTGATGATATAATGTTTCACAAGCTCACCTTGAAAAGACCAGAGAAATAGGCATACTGCCTTGCAATGCAGCGATACTGATTTGTGGCTTCCTCTAAGAGAAATAGGAAAAAATTCTCCTCATTCTAAATGCACGACTCCAGGGTGAGGGGAGGGGATTTGACTTTGAACATTTATACTTTATACCAAGGGCATGAGATCCTTTAAGCAGTTGATATTCTTCCTTGGTGAAGTAGAGTGTATTTGAATATTCATTTGGTAGAACATTGAGGTATGCCAGCCAAAAGGAATTTGGGCTCCACCGTTCTTCCAAGACATGAAGAGCTAACAAGACATTTGGCATATGCTTCAGGATTGGATCATCTGATGCCAGTAATCCTGATTCAGGAGAGATGATACACGTTAATTTCATTGACAATTTCCATAGGACAACAAAGGAAAATGCCTTAATTACCTAAAGAACCCTTGGAGGCAGTTTTCAAGGTCATCATACACTTTTCTGGCACACTGACCAGACATTTTCCAACTGGGCTGTCCTCAGTGCACTTCAGGCCCAATCCATAGCTTTCAAAAGGGGCAATTTCAACCCCAGATACAATTATCTCTTCAGCAGCACACCACTGTTTGAAGGCTTCTAGACTCTCTTCCCGTGAGGACTTGGACCATGGTGACTGTTTCTCTAAAACAAATAGAGCATGTATAACACAGCATGAGAAAAAGGAACCATCAGGGTCACTTTTTAGCTTTGAGAAAACTCTTCCCAAGTTCAATATGGAACCCACATGGATGATAAAAACTAATTTCCTGGTCACAATAATGATAGACTATAAATTTTGCTGTTTCTTCATAGGATAAATAATTTGTTGAAAAGTGCATGTATTTTTGACCTTGTTGGTCCCTATTCTCATTCTATGTCACATGTCACTTTCCTCCAAGATTCAGCCAAAACTCCTGTATACACTGCAGCTCAGGCTACAGTGGAGTGCAAAAAAAATTGCCATTAAACACAGGAACTTTCCAGAAGTATATCTCCCAAAGTTTAGAGAGTGATTGTTCGAGATTCTTTTTCTAGGTCAAGGATGGGTTATATGTAGCAGTGAGGATGACAAATCTGGAAAAGTGTTGAGTCTACTGAAAATGGTGCATGAGCTGGGTGCAAACCATTTGTTAATGAACCGATCAGTCATCTTACATTATTGGGATTGGGGTTAGCACTGTGCTGCTGAAATTGCCTGTCAAATCAAGATCCCTGTCCATACTGTCTGGCATGATATGGTGAAGATCCAAGAGCAAGGCATTGAGGAGCATCAGGGTGGCAATGGCTAACCTTTTATGATAATGCCCAAGGACAGTATTGCAATCAGTTGGTGGATTTGGAGGAACTGTGAGACAACAGCAGAAGAAATTGTCAGGAAATTGCAAGAGAACAGAGGCTGGCATGTGTCCAGATGGGCAGTGCAGTGCCACCTTGCTTGACTTGGTTATAAAAGCCTTTTATCTCAAGCGAAATCAATGCTGACCCAGAAGCAAAAGGAGAGGCAAGTACAATGGGCACTGCAACACAAAGATGATGATTGGAGCCAAATGTTGTTCTCAGGTGAAACCTGTTATTGATTGCTCAGAAACACAATACATTGTTGGTCCAAGAACACTCAAAAGGAGCCCAAAAGAATTCCCCAAAACAGGCAGAAGATCATGGTGAGGAAAGCCTTAAAGGCCAGGTATTGTGCCATTCATTTGGAAGAATAATGGATGGCCACTACTACACTCAAATTCTTCAAGAACATCTACTTCTGGTGCAAGAAGACAGTTTGGACAACCCTGGAGATTCCAGCAAAGATGATGATTCAAAGTATACAAGTAAGGTAGTGAAACATTTTTAGAACAGCATGCACCCAACATAATTGACTGGCCACCAAACAGTCCAGACATTAGTACTGGGTGTCCATAAAGCAACTTGACACAACAATTTTTTTTCTCATCGCCAACTGAAATTTTACATTGCCATTGTCTTAAAGAGGACAATTCTTTATTCTGGAACACTAATAGCATTCATTTTTTCTCCATCCCAGGTACCTGAAAAACTAATATTTTGACAACTGCTGGAAATGCTCAGTTTCACAAAGAGCATTTCCTCGTTCTCCTGAAGGTCGACCTTGTTTCGGTTATCTTGAACTGACCCTGTCTTCTGGAACTTCCTAACATGATCATGAATGGCTTGGTGAGAAGGCCCTTGGGATGTCTTGTAATGGCATTTGAACTTCTTTTGTGTTTTTACCCATGGGTGGCGATTTGTTGAGAAATTGGGGGGGCTCAGAGACACTACTCCAAGTATTCCTTATTCTTCTGCCAAATTTTTGGGGGGGCTTGAGCCCTGAGCCCCTATGAATCACTGCCTATGTTTCTGCCACAGATTTTGACTCAAAATACCACTCAATGATCTTCATTCTTTGCAAGAAACCTAGCATTTCCGGCAGTTATAAAAAAATTAGTTCTTCAGGTACCTGGGATGGAGAAAAATGAATATCATTAGTGTTCTGGAATAAAGAATTCAGTCCTCTTTAAGACTATGTCAATGTAAAATTTCAGTGGGCAACAAGAAAAAATATCATTATGTCAAGTTACTTTATGGACACCCTATACAACCGAAAACATGTGGTCCATCATCCTTAGGCGACATGTGGAGAAATGAATGCAGAAAAATCCTGATGAATCGGACCAATTCTTACATGAAGAATGACACCAAATTGACATGTCTACCATAAGTCATTTGATTGCATCAATGAAAGAGAGATGTTTGGCTCTTATTGATACAGAGGGAGATTAAATTAATTATTGACTATTACATTTCTACAAAGTACTGTATGAGGGAAATAAAATTGCTTAAAAATTCATTGCTTCCAGAGGTAGAAATTCACCAAAATATGATGGCAATTTTTCTGCACTCCACTGTATTACAAAATATCATACCTACAGATGAGACATTAGATTGTCACTTGTCCATTTATAATAATTCTTTCAAGACTTACATTGGTGACACTGTTAGATGCCCTTCCATCATGAGACCCACCCTTTGACCTTCAATACCATATGAGCATAACATTGCATGGTTACATTTATGGATACACAAAGCTTCTAACCACTACCAGATTTTTTTTTTATTTACTTAAAAAAACATGCTCTGGCATGCCAAAGCACAACATTGGGTTGAAGTCAGGCAAAGTTATTTATGTGTCAAGCGACCATAGAAAGGATGGAATAGAAGAGGGAAGGGGAGAAGGGAATGAAGGTCAATGTCTTGTGGAATGTCAACAGACAATAAACTTGGCCATAGAAGGAATGCACTTGTGTCCCATCTATATAATAGCCAATGTTTGTCCTCCATCTGTCTGCTGGTGGCCTGCACAGATAGACTTTTCCAAACCCGACCCAATTCCAAACCTGACCCAAAACTCAATCACTGGACCGAACTTTATAGACTTGACTCACAGGTTATGTCTAGCCAATTAGGCTGACCTGCAGCCTGCTTAGTTAACTTCCCTTGCTGATGTACTTCAGCATTTATTCAAGGTCTTTGACCATCCTTTTCAAAAACACATAAGTTCCACTAGGGTTGCTACTGCTGGTCAATCAAAAGACTTTTTAAGAAGTGATATTCAGGAATGTTTCATGAAGTCACAGAATTTCAAACAACCCACAGTTGCCCTTAAAAACCTGACAATGGAAGAATCTCTGAATGGAATGGCATAAATTGCTTTGTGAATACTGTTACATCACTGATCATATCCTATTCAACATCAGTTATGCTTATTTGGTAACTTGCAAGTACTAGATTGAAAAATACAAGGGCTGGTGCAAATGTCATTGGAAACACCACAATAATGGTTGGAAAGCACTTAACTGGCACTCTTGGGATACACCCTTAATTCCTCCACTTAATCCTCATTTTTGCACACATACTCTTCTCATCAACATACCCCCAATGAAACTTGATGAAGAATTACTTTAGCAGTTGCACCCATCATATGACATCCTGCACATCAGCATGACCAACAAATCTGCTTAGTTACACCATATTGCTCCATCCAACATACTCATCTGATCTTACTCCTTCAGACTTCCACATGTGTCTGTCCCTGAAGAGGGCTCCACACCCTCTACCAGATTTGTTGATCATGATAATGCAATGCAGTATGTCATGCAATGGGTGTGACAGCCCAGGCTATTCTAATTTGGCACTGGGTTCAATGCAAAGGGTTTACTGATGCAAAAAGTGTGTGGGTGAAGATGGGGATTACATGGTGAAATAGGGCCTGGCAGTAGGGTGTATAAATAAAGAGCATCAAATAAAGTGTGTCTATGGAGTGTTGTCAGTGTAGTGTTTACAATGGCTTTTGCATCAGCCCTCATATATTCATCACTCGAGTATAACAAGATCCATTTAATGGAAGACTTCAAAGACTATTGAAACTCAAGTAATCTTAATCAGATTTTTTTCCATTGCAAGAAACCTTAACTATTATTAGGCCAATTAATTTAAATAAATTTGTAGCCCCAACTTATGCCATAGTGGAGATTGAGATTTATAACAAGACTCTCAGAATATAGCAATGTCTCAACAATTCCATGGAACTTTGAGGTCATTCCTCTTGAAGTGACTCTCACAGGAGAGTCAACTAAAGCATTTCTTCAGATAGTTCAATAAACAAAAAGCAGTTCTGTCCTATCTTCTTATGCCACAACCACCACTGTGACTGGGATGAAAAGCAGGATTTATGTGGTGATGCATCACTTTCTGCCTTGGTGTTGAAAGATACCTTACTACACACGTGGGCAGGCATCTCAAAGAACTCACTTGGTTCAAGACTGCGAATCCTCTCAACCAAGTCATAGATCCCTTCAAAAGCATCCCATGCAAAAGGTCTCCCAAGCTGCCCATCTTCAAGGAGCATGCAGTCTAAAAACACACATAAGAATTTGTCTTTCACAACATGTCATTCACTCCTTATTTTTTTTTGCTGAAGTAATTTCTAAACTCTTTATTTTAGACATGAATCATTGCATAGCATTTAAGAGGTATTCTTCTTCAGCTCAAGACACTTTCAGATCAAGTAAAAGTCCTCCTTATGTGAATTATACCTTCCTTGAGCTGTGTGATGAGCTTGTTCCGGAGAAGTTTGTCTCGAGGAGGAGTATCCAGCTTCTCATTTTTTGCCTTCCCCATTATGATCAATTCAGACTCAGACAACAGACTCACAATCACTCTCACTCCATGTGTGTCATTACATGGTAATTCCAACACTGAAGGAGAGAGACAAAATGCTTTGCATTAATTTATTAATTAACACATTGACGACCAGCCTATTTTTGCTGGTCCGCTGCGTGGGACCACGCGCATTTTTTTTTTTTAAATGTGTCCTGCCATCAGGACGCATGGTTCCAGAAAACATTTTTTTTGCAGAGTTTTTTTTAAAATGTTGAATTTTTTGGAATTTTTATCAGTAATTACGAAATTCAAATATGGCTTGCATCCAACCACAACCTTCTGCCCTTTCTTCGGTATTAAATTTTCTTATGGACTTGATGGGATCTGTTCACCTGTTCTGAGACAAAAATGTCAGTGAAAAGAGACTAACAGAGGGTATTCATTGAAAAAAAATCTGCATCCTGGCATCAGGATGCATTGTTGCCAACGTGTTAAGATAGTGCTTCAAGCTTTCATAAATTTGTTGGACCTTGAATGAGGTTCCATGTACTCTTCAAAAGAATAGAGGACATCACTGTGTATGCCACTGGATACCAGTCACAATCCAGTCTGCCACTGTCTGGGCAGAGAGCATCATTCAAACCATCTCCTACCCTCAGAAAGGCTTGGAATTGATGTGGAAAGGGAAAAAGGAAATTGTCTTACAAAAAAAAATATAAATATGTTTATTTCTAGGACATCACATGAGAGAACTCTCCAAGAGAAAAGCATATTGGTCTGGGGCATTCCATAGCAGAACAATGTTACTTAATGTCAGAGAACCCTTAGGTCCCAAAAACTATGTTTGTACTCATTTAGAAAGGAATGAGGGGATACAAACATAGAGGAAGATCACTCATCACATTCACAATGGCATAGATTCTTCATCCTGCCCTGGTCAGTTATACTTTCAGCAAGACCACGTCTTTCCCTCCCATTTTTTTCATGCAATTACCCTCTTGAACAACACATTGATCAAAAAGCTCAGAGGATGTAAGAAGAATGTATAAAATAATGCTTCCATCCAAGGGGAGCTTGATACAGTACAGTTTGTGCAGCTATGCAGAGCACCTTAATAACAAAAGTCTTCAAATAGAGAAGACAACAAAGAAAATCATTTGTAACCAGAATTCATGTCTGGGGGGGAATCAGACATCATATAGACAGAATTATCCATGATGCACATTCTTAGTCCTCAATGCATTCTGAATCTTGCTCAGAATGCAAATGCCTGACTTGAGGAGAAAAAAAAGACCACATGGATCTTTTGCTTTGCTTCCACTTGAAGTAACAGTAGCACAGCAATTGTGTAAAATCAAACAAGAAATGGCAGCATATATTTTGCAATCTTCTGACAGCTAAGCACAAAAAATGAAAAAGATTAATCTCAGAGTGATGAATATGGAAACAGGCTTACAAAATTTTAATCAACTTTTTTTAATAATCAACTTTTATCACAGTGAAACAGTGTACTGATTTGCCCCCAAGCAAGTTCTGCCATGTATTTTAAGGGAAGAAAGAAAGGGATTGAGCAAAGACAGGAAGGAAAGAAGGGCCATATATCACAATGAATCAGCTCCCCCAATGCACATCTGTTCATCTTCACATTCATCCTCCTCAAACCGGCGCTTCAGTTTGCGATTCTGTGATTGGGAGCTCTGGCCATTCATCTGAGCAAGGCGTGCCTTGTATATGGGTTCATATTCCTTAAGCTGCTGTACAAAAGCTTCATTTGGGTTGATGCAGTATCTCTTCTGCTGGACAATGTTGAATGCAGACCTGAAAAATCCAACCAGGTCTCCACTTCATCTTCATGGCTTGGAAATGTAGGCCCTATATGGCCCTTCCTATATCCTACATCTAAGAAGGGTGTCCAAAAAGTTTTGGCAAACATCAAATAAATACTAAACAATTGTTTTCATCCCTACCAAAATTGGTACAAACCAATATTAAACCTACCTTAGCCCTTGAAATAGTCCCTGTTTGAATCTAGGCACTTCTGCCATCTGAAGGGCAATGATTGTATACCCCTTCTGTAAAAGCCTGTTTCGTGTTGTAGCCATGGTCTTACAGAATTTTGAAAATCTTCATGACTGATGAAGCATATCCCACAAATTTAGTCCTTCAACTGGCCAAACTGATGATATTCAAAGTGGGTAATGTCTGGGCTATATGATGGCAACAGTCTACTGAAAATTGGTGATTACTTGAACTGTTTTGAATGCCAGCAACAGCAAGATACAGAATTGATATAAAATCGTTGCTCTCCAGTTGGGAGAGGGGAGTTTTTATTTGATATTTGCAGAAACTTTTTGTACAAGTTGCTCTACCCATCTTCATGGGAGAAGTGTCTACCAATCTATCCATGGCCTGTCTTCTTCTAAGCCAAATTGATGCATGTGCATGTAGTGAACTTTGTGATTCATGAAGTAATAAAAAATTTTCAGCTGTGATGAAAGTGTGTTGCTTCATAAGAGCATAATGTAGTTGTTGATTCAACATCTTTTAACCCATTACTGTTGTTTTGTTTAAAAAAAAAATTATTTTTGTTAAATCTCTCCTTTTTTAAAACCAAGTATTAAGACAACATCATGCTTACATTATTACCAACATGAGAAAATGGATAGCAATGTGTTTATTTGTAATTGGATGAAAATGTAATGCTACCACCCATATCAGGGGTTGCTAAACTTTATCATAGTTTAGGGTAGTATACTCATTTGTTCCTACTCTGCTGATATGATGTATGACTAAGAGAAACAAAAGTATTATCTAATCATAGAAAACAAGGAAAAAGACCAGAACATTTTTAACCTTTCAAGCAGGTTCAACATGACTGGGACATCCATTAAGGTATATCTACTGTGCAAGTTTAAAGTGACTGTGACACCCAGCATGGTAGTGTACTTTGATTAAATTCACCAGTAGGAAGTAAACTATATCTATAATTTATGCAAACTTGTTTCCCACTTGATGCTCACATTGTTGTGCAGAACCGCAAACATATTACAGCCACAGGGGATAATCAGTGTTTAAAATTACCAGCTTGAAGGGTTACAAGGTAAGTTTCATGTTCTTTAATAATTAAGCCATTTGATGGCTTCTATAGGTTATGAAACTATATTACACACTCTTTCAATACTGAATGCATCAAATAGTGACCTCATCAGTAAAATATGGACTAAATTGAATCCTGCAGTTCAGGAAAGAACTTCTGAATCTCACTTCTGGAGCTAATACATGCAGTTTCTCAACAATAAAAAAGGTCCCTTGATGTTCATAGTTGGCACTCACTGGAAGTCCAGCCCATACTGCTCCATGATATAGCCAATGACAATTGCAGCACTACGGGAAACTCCATTGCAACCATGAACCAGAGCCTTTCCGTTGCATGTGAAGCAACTGTTGATAAATTCTCGTGCCTTAGGGAAATGCTGAATGATATTCTCAGTGTAATGATCCACTATATCAAGCACCAAGTACCTGCCAAATAAGCACAGGTTTTCATATCAAGAATTCACTTAGAAATAAAAACTGTTTCCATACTTGAATGACTGAGGAAACTGTGGTTTGATGATGTGGGCTTCCCTTGGTTGTCGAACACAAATAATATGTGTAACCCCTGCATCAAGGAGTGACTGCCCCTGAATCAGAGATAGAATGATTGTTTTGGGGGAGTTTCACCATGAAAATCAATAATTCACTCAAAAAAGATTGAGAGTGCCTCCAAAAAACCTGGTGCAATTTCATATGCATAAGACTCTCTAAGATAAGCATAAAGAAAATGAACACAAGTGCCATGTAAAGCTGAAAAATTTTGTCTCCGACACTGGAATGATCGTTTATGTAGGATGACTTCGGATCAATTTTCAAGTGATAGAAAAATAAGTCTGGAAGCACTAGTAACCCAGGGTTCCAAAAAAGATACTGAATCAAAATTTTGGGGATTTTATTAGTCTTTAGTTGATACCATACAGGATATTGGCAGAATAATCACAGGGGATCGCATTTAACATGAGAGTTACTTCAATAAAATTTCAATGAAATTTATCAGGTAGGATAAAAGTAACAGCTTTTTTTCAACATGAGATCAAATTAGTGAATGTGTCAGTGTGCAAAACCTCCATGCACAATGGGATTTGCCTCACCCATCTATCTTAGCCTGCAGAGGCAGACAAGCTTATACATGGAACATTGCAGGTATAAAAAAAATTAGTTACTTTTGTTTCCAACAGACCCAATTCATTGAAATTTTCAGGAAACCACCAATACTTGTTGGATGTGAAACTGTACATTTTCTGCTGCTACTTTATATGGTGTGTCATCTTCAGTCAAGTAATGTTGAGACATTTTTAAGCCACCTGATGCCACATTCAATAATTGAGGAGTTCTTTGGAAAAAGGGCATAAGCATCCATATGCCCCTTTTCCATATCTGTATCTATGTGCTGCTTTAAGTGACTTGTCATAGGATAGGGTGGTCAGCAGGTAGTTAAGATGCCTATTCAGCAAAGGGGAAGCAGATTTTCCTATGATTTCACTATTGACAGCCCAACTGCCTGACTATGTCAATATGGCTGCCTCCATGAACATTCCATTAACACCTGCATGCTGAATGATTTTGGTGGAGTTATTCATTCCATTGAACTGAAAGTGAGAATGAGAAAAAAATCAGACTGGAGAAAAGAGGATAAAAGAGGCCCAGACATCCAAGCCTCTGGAAGGATGCGAGAAGTTGACAATACCCGTGAAACAGTTGGAGATTAAGGTGTTTAATAAATTAATAATGGATCTCTGATGAGTGAATGAAACTTGTCCTGAATATTAATATTTTTAACACCATTCTTTAAGTTGATTTGAAATCTGTAGATGTATTTATTGGTGAATTATGATTCTTAACTGGAAAAAAGTGGCGAAAGACTGGTTGGGAAAAGTTTCAGCAGCATGGATATTGAAAAGGGGCATATGTGCATAAACACTTTCTGCTTGCATACCAGCAATGTGAGATAAATAAAATTGTTAAAACTTCAAGTTCAATTGGAAAAAGGTCTAAGATACCATTTGACTGAAAACTGAGTTTTGACCAGCTGCAGATTAGCTATGGGAAGTGTTTGCAGTTTATCTCGAATTGCATCTTTTGCACATATGCCCTTTTTCCATAGAACTCCTCAATTGTAAGTGGGAAAATTTTACTGCAATGAGTCACTCAGAACCTAAGAAGCAGCTTTTTTTCACTTGATGTCAAATGAAAAAATTTCTGTTTGCCTATTCAGCTGGACCATGGTATGACAAGTCCCATAGTGAGCAGATTAAGCATCCAGGGTTTGCATGCCAGCACACAAACAAAAAACTTGCATAAGCAGATTTAAAATAAAACTGAAGTCCCAAACAATATCAAGCTAATTCAGGGACATACTACTCGTCTCCATAGTTTTTTTTGTTCTTGCTTTTGGTTTACATGATCTAGGCTGATGCTTGAGCCAAATTCTGATTGTCAGAGAGTATTGTCATCATGAAAGAAAATAAAGGGTAGGCTTAATCATTAATAATAAAAAAAGGAGTCTGTAGAACTAAGTCTGTAACTGCATTGAGACCACCAGAGTGACCAAAATTATCCAGGATATTCACTGACTCATGTCTCAGACTAATTTTTTTCAACATAAGTAAGACCATTGCCAATGTCTAAGTAACTCAAGCATTCTGGGCATGAAGTAGGTTAAACAGACAAATCAGATGTCCACAGAAAAAGACTCAACCCAAAAGCTTCTGTGGATGAAACTTTCTTCCTTTTTGACCCAATAAGTTCATATCACCAGTACTTTCTAAGTGATACTCCTAATTTTTCCATGTGTCAATTCCTTCTTCACTTTTCCTTGTGAGGATGATGAAGCAGTAGCAACTGTAGGTGGATGCTTTTCATGAAATGGATCAGCTGCAGGATACAGTGTATGAGTTAGCCAAACTAAAGTATATTGTCCTAGCTGCTGGGAAGGTTGCCCAAATTACTCCAACACATGGTCACCGGAAGGGGGTAAAGCTAAATGGGTCTCTTTTGGTAGATGGAGGTGGCTATTATACTTTGTGTGTAGTTAATTGTAGTCAATTAATCAATTATCAAAGAAAAGTACATACCACCAGTGAAATCCATATTATCCATATCCATATTATCCCACAAAACCCTATCATGGATGGGTTGTACAAGGATTAACCAATGGACTGTCTGAAGGTGTTATCATTGAAGTCTTCAAAGCAATTCTTCTAAACACATGTTAGAGAATCTTGACATTTACATGAACATGTCAAGTATCACAAGACACACCATCACATAAGTTCTATCAGCAAATTGAAATAAATAAATTCATATTAAAAAAAATATAGACTGAGTATTCTTAGTTAAGGTATGGCTTACACTTTGTCGACTGGCAGAGAGGTAAGGGCCCAGAAAGAGACCGGGGATGATTTCCTGCATGGAACGTCGCATCCCATAGCTCCAGTGTAGGCGTTCATCCTGCAAACCGCTGGGCAGAGGTGGAAACTGAAGGAGGTCTGGGCTGCAACGAGCCATGCTACTCATTCATTCATCCTTTCATCCTATTCAATCACATTACCTTATCCAGATCTGGAAAGATCAACAACAAATTTCTAAATGAAATTTCTGCATTCCAAAACCAGATGGGATTCAACATTTAAAAAATTATTTAAATTGATTTTTTTCTATTATTTTGCTTTCAGTTTAACTGTTCTTTTTTTACAGCTTCTCTTTAGCTGAGGAAAATGGGTTCAAATGGGACTTGCAATTGTACTCATAAATCTGTAAATTCTTTTATTTTATTTGAGCCCATTTTCCCACAAAAGCCACTGTCCCTGCCTTCGAAAAATGCACTTTGGTGACAACAATGAGCTGAAGTTGACAGAGCAAGAATGGTTCAACAGCAAAAAGAATCTTTTTATGAATCTGGTATTAGAATGTTGCATGATCATTGGCAGCACATCATTGAGCATGATTTTCATTACATTAAAGTTTAATAGTAAAATAAAATCTGCACGTTTGGTTCATTGGTGAGGTCAAGAAATTATTGTCAGACCTGGTATATATAGAAAATACAAAAGGAGTAACATATATAAGGTTACATTCTGTTGATTCACTGGTGTTCTTTCATGTCATAAAGTTGTCTTGTGTCAAGAAAATTAAACATGCTCAAAAGAGGCTTCAATTTCAGGTACACAACATTGTCAGTGACACGGGAGACCAAATATTTCTAGGCTTTTTCTGCCTGCTAAAAATTAACAAACACAACCAGCCCAGAAACTCGAATCTAAATAAATTTCATGTCTGAAACTGACATCTCTTCAAAAAATAAATGGCCAAGTGTTTTCTCATGAAAGCACGAGTGAGAGAAATTAAGTTTACTCAAGGCTTCAAGTAAAAGGAGATCTCTCCTGGCATCAGTTCTTGCCCTGATGGCATCAATACAGGGTTCTTATCCCTCTTTTGTGGATAAATGTATTTCACATGTGATATGGACAGATAGAGATTTTGAAAGATGCCCATGAGGTTGAATTCCATTTCTGCTTCAAGCATTGCAGCATATCATAAACAATAACATTGCCAAATGGCGAAGAACACAATATTTTCAAGTAATTCAAGAGAGAATAAGTAGGATATATCATGGTTGCCCATATTTGGGCAACAATCCTATGTACTCAAATCAGATCCTTTTTCACAAATGTCTGATTTCTATGTTACCTCAAACATGGGCTTTGGCATGTAAAATGGTGCCAGGCAATAGATTTTATTGTAACTTTGACATACCTGTATCAGATTGATGCACTTTTTTTTCCCCCTGTGCATATGCTGCACTCCAAAAAGTGAGCAAGAAGATTAGAGAGGCAGTATAAAGACAAGTAATCTTAGATTTCTTCATCATTTAATAGCAAACCATGGATATGAAGGTGAGTAGCAATGAGACTACTATATTGTGAAGAAAATCAATGAAAGACTCTGTAATGTCCTTCCCCTCATGTGTGGAAACATGAGTGAATGGAACTGGAAATAGTAGCAAATAATGTAAAATAACACTTGTAAAATAACACTTTAAAACTTAAATTTAAACATTTAAATGATGTAAAAGCAAATTTTTCCAACTCAACCATCCACAATCAAATGACCACAAAAACCAAAAAAGGTCACAGGGACTCAGAAGTCCTGCTAGGCCTCAAGGTCATGCATGCCTGTATAACCCCACAAAATATGCAGGACTCCTGAGTCCCACCAGGCCTGAAAGGGTTAAACAGAAAAGATATGGAAACCTCACCATAAATAAAAGCAAAGAATAAATAAATCAGTATTGGAATTGAGTGTGAAGCTAGAATAATTATGACTCATACTATGCCAATTTGCCAAAACCAAGGGGCCAGATAAATCAAGGCTTAGTCAATCTTCAGTCTCAACAGGGTGCTATTCCCCAAGGATACCCCTTGTGAGGCATCCTGAGATGTTCATGACATTAAATGAAGTGGAATATAACAAAGACAAGTGGTTTTTGCCATATACAGAATGAAAAAATATAACTTTAATACATGAAACCAACAATACTTGCAACATGGCATTTTTTAGGCTTGCTGTAACAAAAATGCCCTCCTTGCTTCTCCACCAGTCAACATTCAAGTTCCAAGATGTGTAAACTTTTTAGAAGACAATATATGAACACAAAAATATTTTATTGAAACAATCCTGTAGCACAAGGAACAAAGATTCTCAAAAACCAAAGGATCCTATTCCTTAGATCATAGGATACCAGTGGAAGACAATTTCATATTAGGTCTTAATAAGCTCAAATTACAAAAATGACAAACAATACTCAATGAGCAAACACTACAGTTAAGCAGGGGCATATATCACCATGGCACAAACAAAACAAAGAATTAGCAATAAGCCTTTGATGAGGAAGAATGGTAACTATGAGTATATGCTTTAAAATGGTGTCACATTACAGATATCAACTGAACATAAAAACTCCTTATCAAGACTTGTTCTGAACCTTTACTACACAAATGATGAAACCCTAGGTAAAAAAAAAAAAAGCATTAAAATTTCATATGTCCTTTCTTAAAGGCACCAAAAGAAGGCATCTAACATCAAAATGCCAAAATGAAGTCATTCTATTGCAGTGCTTGGGTTTAGGCAAGATGAGAGAAATGAGTAAAATGTGCAAAATAAATTTAATTAAAACCACTAGAACTTATAATAATCAGCAAAAATTTAAGATACATAAGTAGTATGGCAAATAATATAGGATTTGAGATGAAATAAACTTGGCCATGGTACACACCCAATGCTTTTGAGATATTCCCAGTTGGGAGCAAACGTACATTTCCCGCACAGAGACTCCTGCCATTATATGATGATTAATCCAGTTTGTTCTCCATCAAGAACATGGTGCAGTGAAGGGTTAATATACAAACAGTCAATATTTCGTGGACTATTGGATAAGCAGCTAATGTCACTATGCCTTGATATGTAAAAACATTCAAAATAGATTACTCATTCAAGCAAAGCTGAGATTTGGATGCAAAAGAAATCCTTGCCAGTTGAGCTCTTCAACTCCCATTTGACATCCACCTTGATCTGTGAAGGGATTCAAGAATATCAAATTTAATAGGGTCAATAAATTCCACCCTATCAGACATTTGGTATTTATGCTCAAAAAGTCCAGCAATATTTGGAACAGAATAAAGAAATTGACAAGACTCATAGGCCCATCCATTCTTGAGAAGATAACAGCAAGGAATAACAGTGGAACTGAGGACTTTTTTCCATTCAAGGCAAACTATGACAACAGACTATGACAAACAAACTATGATCTCATCTTGCATATATCATAACGAACCAATAAATGAATAGATCTTACTGATTGTTTCATATAGTATAGATTGAAAGAAAAAAGTTCAAAGAAGTCATTCCACATCAAAATGACCTAAATCAGGCAAAAGATTGCTTCACCACTGAAAAGATAAGTGTAAAAAAAAAAAGATCATGGTAGTAGCTACCATAATATGTGAAAAACAGTTTAAAAAAATTGTAGCCCCAAGGTACAATAATAAGATAATTGACCCCAATGAGGCCCCTTAGGAAACCTTTTGGACCCAAATTGTAATCCTTGTCTTGCCTTGAATACGTTTAATGCCAAATGTGAGTGCTTGTATTTAAAATTTATATTATTCAATGCCACAATGTAGTGCCTATTTGAACCAAACATGACTCCCAGAATCATTAAAAGAATCATTTTTTTTTAAGGGTTGGAAACTTTCTTGATAAAAAAAATTTCTGTGCATATTTCTTACTAGCAATGTTTGCATCTGTGGTGCTTGATGATCTTAGAAAATTATTAATTCATTTAAAGTATCCTTTTTTCAATAGTGACATCAAGTTACACCTGGTTGTGTGATACCATTGTCTGCCTGACATAAGCAACATTAAGCAAACAGAGATTCTTAGACTCTTCCCAAAAGGGGTCTAAGGAATATTTCCTTCATCCAGTGCCTTTTATAATAAAACTGAAAGAACTGCTATCCCAAAGTGAAACATTTTAAAGTTACCTGAAAAATGGGCCTCAAACATGCCATAAACCAATATATTCCCTGAACTCAACATTCTAAAACTACATTTGCCAGATTTCACATTCCTATGCTATTCCTGTTTGATTGCAGCAAAAGAAGATATGACAAACAAATCTGCAGAAAAATATACCCGAAGAAGATGAACCTCAAAAGTAAAATCTTTCATGAAATGATTGACCCACCAGGTACTTCTGTACTATGTTTCAGCTTCTCACAGTACCCCAATTTGGTGGAGCAAAAAAAAAATATTGGAATCATCCCCATTTAAAAAATGTATACCCTGAGAGGATGGACCTCATAAGTAGAAGTTTCTTTGACATCAGCTTTCCTAGAACTATTTCTTCATGGAATTTCAGATATCTACAATTTAAAAAAATGCATGGGAAAATATATCACCAAAAAAGTAAGCAAAGAGGAAATTTATCCTAAAATGACTTTGGTAAGACTATGAGTTATTTCAGCAATAAACAAATAAAACAATAAATAAGAACTCTATAACCAAACAAGAATAAATTCAGAGAACTTAAAGAATAAACCTAGGTTAATAAGATATTAGTATAGCTGAAGATCCTTTGGTACATGCTTATGGGGCCACCCTGTATTTCTGGGCCAATTTTACCTTTTCTTCTGGGAAAAGTCCTCTCTCAAAAAATATACTCCCAGGGGATATATCATAGAAGTAACATATTTCATAAATCAGCATCTCAACAGGTATGTTTATACCGAGTTTCAGTTTTCTGTATCTCTCAATTTTGCTGAAGTGAATCAATTACTTGGTAAACATCCCCAGAAAATATGCACCCCCAGGGTATATACCTCCAAAGTCAGACTTTTTTCTGAAGTCAGCACCTTAACAGCTACTTGTGTACTAAGTTTCATGTTTCTATCATGTCTAGAATCATGGTTAGAATTAGTGTCAATTACTCATTCACAATCACATTGTGGACATTGTCACTGACAATAGAAATGTGTTCCCTGTCGTCTCAAAGGTGTGTCCACAAAATGTCATTGCTCTCCAATCAATAGTATTCAAGATACAGGTGTTTAAACAAGCCAGGAAACTTTATAAGAACCCTGTATATACTGTATGTCAGATGGTAAAAAGTTACCCTAGAGATGCCACAGAACAGGGTATTGTATACATTTACCCCAGGCATCCACTTGCCCTTACACTTAATTCACCTTAGTTCACAGTAATTTCAATTGAAGTTGAAGGAGGAAGAGGATGAAGCAAATGTCAAAAGCAACTTGATCCTGCACCCTACATCTCTTCCTTTTCCTTATGGAAGGAGGAAATTTACAAGTAAAAATAGTTTAATCATGCTATGGAATGGGAAATTTTCTTTTTCACACTTTCACAAATTTCTGAGCATTTTGAAACTGGAAATTTGCAGAAAAGTCAGGAGTTTCCCTAGGTTTCTTGTCACTGGGGTCCCCGGGACCTTCAGGCCTGATATGGAAGGGTCCTCTTATATTTAAGGGGGTTCCTTTCCAAGTGAAGCACAAGGGAATCATGAAGGGTTCCCCAAAAGTCAAAGTCTAGCAATCCATGTTTATTTGCAGACTTAACATAACCAAGCAGCATGATATTCAATCCAGCAGTCTTAGGTCTTCTGCCTGTGTATCCTGGGACCCTCAGGATGCATGGGCAGGAGGCCAGGGCAAGAAACCTAGCGCAACCCCTGAAAGTGTTTGAGAAATTCATCTTCCTTCCATAATAATTTTCTCAACATAGATACCACACTACAAAAAACTTTAATGCAGAAAAAATATAGCCTTTCTACAAAAGGTATTTCCATAAGACCTTCATGAAAAAGTGCAACACCCTCACATTTTCAATAGTCACCAACTGCTGCACAGTGACACATAAGGGAAATTCTGCTGAATGCAACAATAATCACAATTTCTGTGTGCAGGTTTCAGATTCATTAGATATTTGACATACCTTTGGATAAATTGGCAGGACAGGGAGTGTTGCACTGTAAATATATGTAGACTTCTTCTTGAGTGGGCACTTGATGCCTGAGTCTTTGCATGGATCAGCATTGGGAAGGTGGAATGGCACAGGGATTCCTCCAATAATACCATGGACAACAACAGTTGGCTTGTCTTCATTTGCCACTAAAGACCAACAACATTAGATTGGAACAAGACCAACTTGACCAGCTACCATGACAGATGTCTCCAAGAGTCTTCTCTTCAACTTTTTAGGACTTTTTTTTTGGAATAATGCATGATCAGTATAGATCAGTTCAGCACATGCCGTAAAGCTCACCGGGTTGCATATCTGGAAGGATGAAACCTATCACTGGTGTGTTTCCTAGCAGATAGGCAACCCGGCATGCCTTATAGCGTTCGCCGGCCTCTACCTATAGGGGGCAAAATACTCCCTATTTTGCATTTAAATATGAACACCCTGTATGATTTTAAGTCATTGTATCATATGAGCTGGTAGTCAGTGAAGAATGCCTTGAAAACTGGCAAAACTCTTCACAAGTACACACAGGACTTGTCCTAATATGAGCATAACGGCACTGATACATTTAGCCTCAATAACATGGTATATATATAGGGATGTAACTTGAACTCAAAATAAAGGAACACCTACTTACTTGATTTGAATCCCACAGTAATTGTCATGTTACTGCCTCTATGAAGAATGCAAGAGGAGCCACCACCACATGGAGGTGAAATGGAGACATTTGCAATCTTGCCATATACAGACCCTGGAAAAGAGAGGTATGAGCCAGGAGTTCCAGCAGATGTTATCCAGAATGAAGAAAATTCATGAAGATTTCTGAATAAATAGGATTCTAATCAAGAACAATAATGGGGGATGCACAAAATCTAACAACTGAATACATTCAACTTTAAGATGAGCTCTATTTCTATATTCTGACCCAATGGCCATCTCTGAAGGACATCCTGATAGAAAAAAAGGCAGTGAAGAAAATGAGGTATTTTTGTGCTGTTTACCCCTCTTTGAGCCACAGACCAATATTTTGGCCTGGCCCCAGCTATGTGAAAATTATGATGGGCTGAGACTTTGGCTGCGAAATTTTCTCATTGCTGATTCCTTACAGGGCTAATAGAGGGCAGTGTTGGTTATACAGGGTGACCCACAAAAACCATACTGGGCTTGTTTTTGGGAGAGAGTTGGGAGGAGGTTGTTTTCAAAGTTTGGTATGGTTTTTTTTGGGTCACCCTGTACTATAAGAGTGTGATAGACACCCTATTTAAACACATCAATAACATCACTGGGAAGTCTGGCAATAAGAAGGCTAATATTCAATGTCCAATGAGATTTTCCCCCAGAAAATTCAAGATATTGTTTCTTCCAGGGGGAAGCATTTCCACGGAGATAGCACCTTGACAAGTAATTTTAGCTTGGGTAAGGTGGGGCTATTTAGACCAAACATTCTGAAGAAAGGAAGCTGCCATGGCACATTCAAAGGGTTGTGTACTTATCTACCAATTCCCTCCACTAAGTATTCCTACAAAATACCATGGCCCTTTCATCCAAGTACACAGTACAAATTCAATACATCTGCACCAGTCATTAAGTTCATAGGCCCATCTATGAACTCAATGAGTGGGTGCAATGGGTGTGATACAGTGGTGTTATAGCAATGGTGTAATACAAGAGAAAGGAGGGAAAAAAAGCATACTAAAGAAGATATTGACAAAGTCATTGTGCTCTGGAAGGATCCAAAAAGATATCACTGAGGAAGATTTAGAGATTTAGATGTTCTCTGTTATAAGAAGAATGCTGCTTGGCTTAAACTTGAGATTTTCAATAGCCTGATTGATGTACGTGAATGCAAGTGTTGAGAAGAGAAGGATGCTTTATTAATATAATGAAAATCCTGTGGAACTCTGACATTTATGTCCAATAGCAATCCAAATTGTCTGACCTTGTCAGTTGAAACATTTCAAAACTGCATATGTCACTCAGCTGCTACTTTGCATTTTGAATCCTCTAAAACAACATATATACATTCAATCTGTATGCCAGAATGAGAGTGAGTCAGAGTGAGAGCCCATGTTGAGATACAATACCATACCCATATGTGAATGAATAATGACAAAATAAATATTTCCTAATGCTTCCAGTGAGCATACATTATGCAATATATACAATGGGCACATTGCATATATTTCTTTCTTTTTTATGTTATTAACATGTTCATCAACTCTGATCACCAGGTATTTTATGGTTGTATCTCTGATCAGAATAGTATTTGAATTTTACTGAAAGTTACCAGTAGTGTTCCAAAAGTAGCAAAATTTATTTTATACTTTGTGTCCTTTATACCCTAAAAACATATGAAACTTGGTACACATATATATTTTCAGTCACCCTGAAGGACAACACATTGTCATTGACAAACACATGTACTGTCACCAGTATAAAAGCTTGTCAATGCCATATCTGGAGAAGTTTGTTGGTATGTCTTGTCCACTGCCAAACCACTATTTTCACTTTTGAGCACTGGTAGCATTCACTCATGCAAATATTTCTTGAGGAGACCAGACAAATGAAACTGATGGGTTTCGGGGCCAGCATACATTTACTGAATGATTTACTCTGAGTATTTAATGCTAAGTAAAATGAAAAATCAGCAGGATTGAATAATGTGCGAGGAGGCTTTACATGCTTAGCTGACACATAGCTTCAGCAAGTTGCATTCACAGCAGTTGCGACATTCGTTTGATAAAGGTTAATGATTATGGGAATGTATAGCTGGAAACGTGCAAAAAAGGTATTGAAACTGAGATGTAAGAACAAATCATCAAAGTATATCAAATCCAATTGGATAAAATGAAATCATGACTTTCACTGGTGGCTTATGAGGTTCAGAATAGGAAAATAATGGTTGGATCCAATCAGAAAAAAAGATTACCTTTGCCCCTCCTTCATTTTCTTAAGGTGGTGCCTTCTGTCATCAATGTTCCTGTTCAAGAACTTGACCCTAATGAATGTCCTTGTACAAGCATATAGCAGTATCGCTCTTGATTCCACAGAAGGGAATGTTGATTGGAGATCAGCTACAAGATTCTTAGATTCTTGATTATACCCATCTTGGTGATTCCTGCCCCATACTTAGCTGCAAAGGTTGCCTCAAACTGTTTCATCAGGTTCAACCAGTCATTAGTAGGTGTACATAACCTTTGAATTTCCAGCTGCTGGATCCAGGTTTTCCCCCTTTCACTGCTGTCATCTAAGCTCGATATTCCTGTATGATCCAAGGTTGTAACTCCCATGCCTTCCTTCCTGCAAGCAATATAACCCGATGGTCTGGCCTAGGTCTACAAATTAACCGCTGATAATTCACATATGTGATCCTGCATAGCATTGTGCATGAATCACTCAACTGGACCTACATGGAAAATCACCTTGTCATACAGGTCACTCCCACTCAGCTTCCACAGTGATGTAGTATGCAGAGCTGTGAAAAACTCATCCACCACTGTGCTTCAAGCTGGGACTACCTTATATTCTATCTACCTTGCTCAAATCCTCCTAGTCTTAAAGTTTGGACTCTGCCCATGAGAGGGTAAAAGGCTTAAAAGAAGTCACTCAATGGGACTATGCCTACTACAAGCCATTAGAATGTACCTAAGCTTGGATTTTATGGAACTTTATGGATTTGGCATCCTAACTAAATACTCTATTTTTGTCATGAGGCAGATGTCAGTGACAAAAAGAACTAATACCAGCAAGCTTATTTATTTGAATACTATGGAAAGCCATCAAGTGTTGGGAAGACTCACCACAGTCTTTGAATGGCACATCAGAAGCTGCTACAATACACAGAATGTGCAAGAGGCATGCAATGATCCACATGTGCTTCATACTTTCAACTCCACTTGATACCCAGGCCTCAAGGGATGCTTTATGCCAATATTCTGCAATCAAAAAATGACGCCAAGGAGATGCAGTCACCATAGGTAGAGAAGCATTCTCAAAAGTGGTTTTGCAAATTGCCAAAACACTAAACAGCAGGGGTGAAGCTCAGTACGAAGACTCCAGTTCTACCCACTTTACAAAGAGTTCTACCCCCTTTCCCCAGGGAAACTAGGAGTGTCCCAGTCAAACCAGGAGAGTTAGCAACCCTACCAGGGATAGAAGGGTACTGAGGAATAGTGCAGGTCAGAACTTAATCATGTGCACAGAGATATGCATATAGCAATAAAAAATTGAGGTGGCAAAAGGTGCACTTCACCTCACACTTTGAAAAGTGGAGGAACATGCCCACTTGTCTCTAAACTTCCTACACTGTTTCTGGATTGAATTTGTATCATTCATCATCATTTGTACAGTGGAAAATGGAGAAAACGCAAATTTTCAGAAGTTCTGCTTCATCAGGTGATAGAGGTAACCATCAACATGTCATTAACTGTAATCAATAGAAGCACTCCTATAGAGGGGTACATATTCAATCTGGAAACAGTGTATACCCTTTCCTAAAACCAGGGCTGCCCAGAGGTTTCAAGGAGCCTGGGGCAAAACTAAACCAGAGACCCCTTGAGGCCCTTTGGAGGCCTCCCCTTGGGACCCCTTGACTTATCACATTCTTTTCTATCAGTTTGGCTCTTCCAGTGAATAAGGTTTCAGAGATTTTCAGAATCTTGTGGCACTTGAGTACTTAGATTGTGCCCATTGCTTCCCAAGCTGCTATTCCTTACTGAAAGCATTCAAGGACAGAAATAAATAACTTCAAATGCAATACATCCCAAACCAAAATCATGAAGGATGCTTCAATATAATATAGCATAAGATGCAAACCTGGCTTTACTTCTACAGATGGGTCAATCCTTTGCTACAAGAAGCAATTTGGAACATGAACTCTCATTTGTTGTTGTGAATACCTCTTGAAACCCTTGGAAGGAAAATATATGTAGTGACCCATATTTTTTAAAACTAGCTTTGAAAACAAATGGACTGGCTTTGAAGTAGTTGACTTTTGCACAAATGTGTGTACAAAGAAAATGCAATACAAGAAAGACTTATACTTCAAGGATGTAAATAATAAACCCAGTGATCCAGTTGACTACTTGAATACACAATTCAAGTAGTCAATCAGCAACAGCCAACATAGGCATTTAATCCCTGCCAAATTTGTGTCTTTTGTACAGTTGGGAATTACTCAGCTGCCCAAAATTCTGAAGTATTCCTCTCTCTCACCACAGCAAGCCAAGCTAGCCATCAAAAGAACTTCACAAGCAACTATGATTTAATTACCATTAAAAGTCAAAATTTACCCAATTTATACACCCCAGAGGTGGCTTGAGTTTAGACAGACTAGTAAGTCAGACTTACACTTACTTCATGTCATTCCGACCAGTTAAGACTAAAGACAGACTTCCAAAGTCAGACTTTGCATTTAAATCTGACTAAACAGAGATAATGCAACCACCCCCAATTCTACTCTCTCAACTGATAAAAAAAAAAAAAATTCTCGATAAGAACACAAGATTTCAGCAAGCCATTCATGGATTTTTACTTTTATCATTAGGTTGTTCCTGCCCCACTTACAACTTCAAGAAATGACATCCCTGCTAGGGTACTCTGGCTTAACAGTTCTTAGCAAATGTCAGTGACATCTAGTGGGGAGGAAACAGTACAAAAAATCATTTTAAGTAATTCAGAGCGGGACTGAAAGTCACATAAAAATCGCTCAATCCTGCAGATAGAGAGAAAATGAAAGCATTTATGTCATTAACAATTCCAAGCATAAAAGATAAACACGCGCCAACTATGGGCCAAAACCTATCCGGTCACGATAGCTGGAAAGCGAAATAACTCAGAGAAGGGGTAGAGAGCTAAATAATGGTTGCACCGATTTTATTCTTGCTCAGTGCATTGGAAAAGCTAGCAACTAATCTAACATAGGCCTACAATAGAAAATTCATACAGATACAACTCAGGAGCCCTAAAGTAAACCCGCTGACGAACAAGAAGCCATAGTTACAAATTTAACAAAAAAATCATGAGAAATCCGGGACTCCATCCGCCGGATCGCATGGACCATGCATGGATGGAAGCATGCAACTCCCCATCGCGCACGACATACTCCATTAGAGTGCTCATCCGAGATATTGTCCTTAAAAGTCCATAACTTCAGAGGATGCTTTTTGGTAATCCATTTCAACCTATGCCGAGTGCCATAATACTAGAGGATGATTCATTCTGAATTAGGCAAGAGACAACTCGCATCCGCGTCATGGATGCAAGTTCTGAATGTGAACCCCAAATGCATCTCTATAGAGAACTACTCTGCAGCCCTACGGTCCTCCTTGGGTAATTTTTTTCTCGTGGTCCATGCTGCCGATGGCCTGTGTCACCTGACTTGTGTCGTGTTGTCCTGCAAGTTGAAGTTTTGTGTTCTAAGAATAGCTACAATTACCGAATGAAGAGGAACGATGGCAACATTGGTCCACGGTATCATGATCGTATCTCCTTCCTCTGATGATTCTTTCAGCATTGATTTCAAGTCGAAGTGACTTGAGGAAAGTTCTGAAGGGTGCTGAGAAGAGGTAACGGTTAAGCGCCTGTTAAGCGCGACCGTGAGAAGATGCCAATGAGCCTTGAATTTTCCAAGTGCTGCCAGCACTTGCGGACGAAAAAACGCGACTTGCTCCAGTAGACTGGAGTAACTCACATATTCTTACTGCACAATCCATGCCTAAGTTGACCCCATGTCGAACCTTTTGTACTAACGTGTGCCAGGTGTGAATATTGTACTCTATTCTATATTATGATAAGTCTTCAGAGTCAGAGTTAGCCATTATTGGTGAAGACATTGGCAAAGAAGTTACTTATGGTGTGTTGCAATGGTGAATTTAGATCTTTTATGACCTAGTCCTCGGTGGTGTACCATCGTAAGGGCTAGGGGGGCACGTGCCCCCCCACTTTTAAGAAAAGAAGTCAAAATATAATAAGGAAAAGACCCAGAAATGCCTGATAGTGTTTTTCACTTTACTTCGACACTCATGCATGAGGAATGTCCCATGCATGTGTGTCTGAGTCGAGCAAACAATTGTCTAACTCAAGTGATAAATGCTGTCACAGTATCCCAGATCCCAGAGCCCCTCCACTTTGTCCTGTGCCCCTTCCCCTCCCCTTAGGTCCTGTCCCAGTTTAAAATCCCAACTGGAATATTCCAGCTGGGTCAAATCTGTAAATTCTGATCATTTCCAGCTGGCAAAGAGCTGGAAAATAGTAGGTACCAGTTGTTTCTTAGCTGGAATTTTCCAGTTGGAATTTTATAAAGAGAACCCTACAACTGGAATGTAGCCCTAAATTTACAGTTGAAAATCAGCTGTTCCTGTTGATGGACCTCTGACAAAAATAGTCAACAAAAAGATTCTCATTCAGTTAGTGATATTGCAATTAGGAACAGATCTGGAGATTACTATTTTCCAGCTGTTACCCAGTTATAATGGGTCCGAATTTACAGCTGGAGTCCATCTGGAAATTATAGCTGTTTCCAGCCTGGATTTTAAACTGGGGTGCCCCCTCCCCCCTCCACTTTCTCTTCACACTATGCTTATGCTGGTCCTCACTGATAACTGAATTTTAAAATTTGATCTTGACCAAGGTGTCCAATTGAATAATGCCTTGGATTTTAGAAAGGCTATTCTGTACCTAAGGAAAGACACTTATATAAAAACTGTCATACTAAAGGGTGTGTGGATTATTGGATCCCTCTACCCCTTAACAGGCAAGTCATGAATGAGCAGAAAATCCTAACAATTATTCATATATTGGATGTTTTATTAACCCTTTCCCTGGTGCACACTTGAATTCAAATGCTGGTGCAGAGCTCTGTTTTGAATGCTGTTGCCATCTAACAAGTGGCTCTGTAAATATGAGAACTTGGGTACAGATTGATAAATGTCTGCACCAACTGTAGAAATCGATAAAGACACTGTATGATTTAGTTTTGACCAGAAATTCGATTTTATTTATATTTATATTTAGTGTGTATTTCAGTTTACTTTTCTTTAAATGAAACATGAAGTGTTGAGTGAATTTTCTAGCTTTAGTCCATGGAATATTTGTGAACCACCTACTAGCAGCATAAAATGGAAGTTGTTTTATGCTGAATAACTAACATTTCTCTTTGCATTGGGGAAATTTTAGCCATGCATGTTCATATTTACATTTCAAAGAAAAATTACAAAAGAAGTTGAAATATCACAAGAACCTTGGTGTCAATTGCTGTATACAAGTAGTACAGAAGTGAAGTGAAGAATATCTTGAGTGAACAGATGCTCTTCTATCCTCAATCTGTAGCTTTTAGCCCATGATGCTTTGCATCATGGATGTGACTTTTTAGCTGTCACTGATGTAGAGAACATCAAGATATTACAGGTGTACCTGTTGCTATCATACTATTTCAGTTAATGTTGAATAACTAGCATCATATGGAGGACCTCAGACATGTTGGAGACAAATGGAGTCTTGAAACAGATGCACAACTCTTGAGCCATCTGCAAGATTTTTCTCAGGTCAGTATTGGCAGTAGATGCTATGAATTAGTCTTGACAGTCTCATACCATTCATTTTCCATAAGGGTGTTGAAAAATGAATTTCCTTGTTTTGATTTAGATTTCTGATTTGACTATACCAGTAATGACACTTGAAGCCACCCCTAAGTGGGAAATGACTGCAGAGCCTAAACTTGTACACAGAAATGTAATCATCATTGGACTAGTGTAGTTCTTTTCGGTTGCATTAAATTTTACTTATTCTGTTTTAGGCTTCTCCTGTAGACCTTTCTTAGGTCTGTTGTACATTCCATGGCATATTGAAATGGAGCTTCCATCAAATTTTTTTTTGAAGAAAATAATAATGACATGTATCAATTATTCTTTTGGAAGAAAATGCCCTCTTTCTTGCATCTCACTCAGGGTTGAACTTGAAATATGCATTCCTTTATATGTAATGCTATGGAAGGAGTAGATGGTATTCCTATTCCCCATGCTCAATTTATGGGAATCACCTATTACTGGACCTTTACTCAGTTACCTTTAGACCATACACAATTTTAAAAGTACCAAAGCTACAATCCATGACTCAAGCCATTCCCCAGGAGCTGAGGTTTCTCTCCTATTATCTCATGACAGTTTCAAAGCAACCTCTTGCACTTGGAAATGGTTTCAATGTTTAGAAGGTATCTTGTGCTCAAGTAAGATGAATTGTTTCTCTTAGCCAACTGACAGCTACAATCATAGACCCACCAACAGGCACAACAAGGGGAGCAGTTGCCTCCCAAAATGAATCCCAGGGGCATGAGGTCCTTGAAATCAGCTAATTCTGTTTTCCTTCTTCTTCATTACCTTTTCTAAGATTCCTGGATTCCTGAAATTCAGTCCCACATTTGCTTCTTTTTTTTTTACCATCACAGTTGCAACCATCTGGGTTGTTTGAGTATTAGTATAAAGTCAGAAAGTTTATTCTCAAAAACCTTGCATAAGTGGCTAAGGCCCCAGAAAATCTAATTTTTCATTATCAATAACTGTGGTCACCTTATTATTTCAGAAAGTAGTACAGCAGACCCTTGATCTCCAAAAGAAGCTGGATAATGTTGTCCAGGATGCTGAGCTAGCTGCAGTGAAAGTGGACAACATCAACAATGCCTTCCTCATGCTGTCAAATACACAGTTTGTGGAGAATCGTGTATACGAAGATGATTTAAGTATTCCACAAGAAGGGAAAATACCTGAGGTAAGTTACCAACAGTACAAATTCTAAGAATGTTCATAATGAAGATTATGTCAATATGGTGAACCACCAGTTGTAAGAAGCTCAAAGCCCACAGATGTGCTTTTACTCTGGAGGGCCAGCTAACTCTTATCCAAATCCTCTTGTAATTTTTTTATTTTAAGACCCAGGTAACTTCTGACCTTGAGAGACTCCTCACCTGCTTGGAAAGTGAAATCATCATGCAAAGCATATAGATGAAAGATTCTATAGTTTGAATATAAGTCTAGCTCAGGGATGCATTGTAAATGTATGGCCAGTACACAAAAAAAAATATTATGCTTCTTATAGTGATTATAAAGGCAAAGATCAGTCCACATCTTTTGCATGTCTTAGTAAAGGCAGTGATGAGAATTCATTTTTTTTTGTTGAAAAAAAAATATATTTCCCTTGTCATTTTATTGCTTTCAGGTCTTTATCATGGTATAAACATGGTTTATATTCTAGGCACATAAATGTGCCTAGAACAAAATGACTTATTCAGTTTTAAACAGCATGCATGACAATTTCATGTTGTGCTTATGTGAAACAGCTGGAGTGGTACCTCAATTCTTAGTAATGAGTAGAATGAGGACAAAGAAGCAACATTGCTTTCCCCAAATTCTTTGGAAGTTTCCCTCAGGAATTTTTACTCTGGCTGTGGTTTCATTTTAAATGTAATTTAAAGCCAAACATCAACATATTTTTCTATCCAATCTGCTTACCTCCTGGCATTAAAATTTTCAGGGGGCTATAGGCTGGACATGTGTTTTCTATTCATCTATTCACATAGATTGTACAAAGCACATTGTACATTAGAATTTGTGCCTATGTGTTTTGCCTCTGTGACATAATTGATGTTCTTTCAGGCAGAGACTAGTGCTTCATGTGTGACATCTATTTTGCTTAATTTTATGGAGTAGAAATTCATTTGGGAAAATTTGTAGAAATTTAGTGAGATAGAATATTTTTAAGCAGAATTAAATCCCATATGATCCCTCTGCACAAAAAAAGGCAATTCATAGTGTAAAAACCTTCAGAATGATAAACTGGTGACCATATGCAGCAGGTTTGTAGCTTTCCAATGACATCTTATTTATGCTGATTTATATTTTGACCATGAAGTTGAGATTTTATTAGAATAGCCTTTAGAAATGCCAAGAGCAGTGGTACTTTTTGATCCAGAGGTTAAATCTGGACCCCAGAAACCTTATCTGGACTAGACTAAAAAAAAAAAATTTTGATATTACTGAAAAAAAAGAGGCCCTCTTTACTGGAAAATCCTTTTTTGTAGGCTGCAGTTTGAGTACCACTGACCTAGAGAGTACTGAATGTTTGCATGCTTGACAAGTAGGATTGCTTCATCATGATAATATAGCCTATATTCAGTTTGTTACCCTACCATAAATAAGATTTTCAGTATGTTGCTGCAATGAACATGCAAATTTGACCTAACTCCCAACACAAAATCTCCTGTGTGATCTTATCCAATATCAATCTGTTGAAGTTGGATGCAATAACACAGGATGAATTACCTTATTGCTTCTGGATGGCATCTCTGTTCTGACATCAAAATTCAGGATAAACTGGAGCTGTATGTCATAGGTGATGAGTCCTGCTGAAAAGGAGGCTGGTGTAATCAAGAAGGTTACAGCTGCTCTACAGTGTGGGATGTCTGTCATGAAAGAAGCCTATCAACCACTGCCCCTTCATGATAGTGACAGTGATGATGACAACCCATCCAGGTTATAATGAAATCTCATTCGATCTTAAACTTTTTTGCCTGTGTAGTGTTCATGCATGTATGAAGTTCACTCTCCTTTAACAGGATCAGAGTTGCACTGAGGCCAAAGGATTTGTATGAAGGAAGACCCCTTCCTTGCATTATTGGGTCTTCACAATTTTTTGAAGATGATTATGTTGGACTACCACAGCCAGAATCAGAATCCTCCAGACAGAATGATTTAAGTTGCCATGAGGAGAGTTTTAGTGCAATAGGAAATGGAGAGGAACATTTTAACACCCTTGATAGCCATGTGATTGTGAGTATTGTTTTAATATTAGGCCTAATTTAAAATTAAGTAAATGCATGATCCTATCAACATCAGTAATGCAGTTCTATCATTGTATTCCTGAAAGGATTCTTTCCCTTATTTTCCATGTCAATATTTGTCATATTGTAAAAGTAAAATGTTTTTGTTATCTGAACTCCTGGGCTTGCATGGGAAAAGGTAAGTGAACAACTAGGTAAATGATGAAAAGCAACAAATTGAAAGTATTTTTTCTTTTTCTTTTTTTCAAGTGCTTTTATCATGCTTGTGTGAGGCTGCTCTATTTTTTTTTTTCTCTTGAAACTTTACATGTTTGTTAGAAGTATTCTATGGAGAATTTATATGCAAAGCAGCCAATATGTCTGGCTCATCATTCATGAGGTAGACATGAAATTCTAGAGAGAGATACAATGGGGGGGAGGGGGGGGCAGTGAGTCTCTGCTTAGCATAGAAGTGCATTTTCATGGTGGAATGGCTCAAAATGAAGGGTGTGTCGTGTACAATGGGATAGGGTTGCAGAGTGTGCGGAAGGAGAAACTGTGTCAAACACTATCACAAAAATGTAAAGCTTGCAAAAATGCCTTCTTAAAATGATTAAACAGTTTTGCTAGGTAGGGTGAGGAGTTTAATTTTGATATCAGCCATGACAAACGTTTTTTTGCAAGCTGCCATTATTCTGATCATTTTAGCTCTTTGGTCCTCTCATTCTTGGATCACCCATACTCTGTTTTCCCCCTTCAGTTATCCAAGTCTAATTAAAGTTCTGGCATGGATGAAGGTCCTGGTAGCCAATGCGTGGATGTGAAAGTATTAATGCTGAAGTGCCTTCACTTAAAGATGAGGTGCAGTGATCTTGAGACATAATCTGAACTCTGTCATGCTATCTGTGACAATGAATCAGTTCAGTACTTCCCTGCAGACAATCTTTCTTTTTGATGCTCCTTTGCATAGCAGGTTGGAACCATGATCAAGAAAATGATTTAGAATGAGCTTTAGTCAGTATGGAGCATTGGCAGAAAAAGTGAATTCATCAAGAGGAGTCATGTGAATTAGTGATTGAGCATTGAAAGGACATATCTCATAGTCCTTTCACAGATGTGGACTCTGACCACCCAGATCACTTACAACAACAACTATTGATACAATGAGCTTGGCATACTCCAAAGTATTCACAATCATGAAAAATACTTTTGTGATCTGGTCAAAGTTATAGTGAACTGGCTTCTTCTAGTTCTTGAAAATTCCTCTGGCCATGACAAGCATGAGCTTTCTGTGTGGTGCATATATTCAGTCCTGTGTATCATAGCGAATTCTGGAATCAGTTGTCATTTCATCATGACTGAAATAGTACACTATCTTTCTATGGCAAGATGTCTGCATGGAATTTTATCAACTGTACTGTGTCATGGAGAATTCCTGGCCCACAAAAGAGATTAGCAACCCATGCTTTGAGGCTAGAAAAATATGCCAATGGATATGTGAGACATGGCCTGACATAGTCTTATGGTTTTGCTGACATGGTCTTTTGTGGCACTGAACAATTGAATTCTTAAATACTAGAAGAACCAGAGCCGCCAATTTGACTGCTGCATTAAAAGTAGTATAAAACTAATATTCTGTAACATTTTATTTGCTTTTTCCAGATGTTATTTGGCGTGTTCAAAATATTCAATGAAATCAGCTAACAATTGAGAAATGTATGTTCAGCTCTGTCAAGCAGAGGCTCTGATGCATGAGTTTACTTTAGGAGGACAGGTCAGGAGATGTCCCCTCTGAATCTGCAAGTGAAGTTATTACACTAGTGAGCTGTTACACATGCTATTATCGTGGAACAGCTTCCTTATATCACTACATACACCAGATCCTACCCCTGCTCTCTGGCTGGGGCTGGATAAAATGCATGACAGTAGCCATGTTGGCATGACAAAAAGTATTTTTAAAATGTTGTGCAGAAGGTGTCACTTCGCCAACTTTTCAATATGATCTCCACACTGATCAATCATGGCATCCATGTTTGAAATGATAGAAAACAGTAACATGTAGTATGTTACGCTCAAGAAATTGCATGCTCTTCTCACTGTATCACTGCCTTGAGATCTGGAAGCATCAGTGGGTCATTGCAGTACATGTGTATCTTCAAGAAACCTCATAACTGATAATTTCCTGTACATGGATTGAGATCAAGTGATCTTGATGGGCTGTGAAACAGCAGGAAGTGAATGCAACTCTTCAAGAGATGTAGCTGCTGTTTCCAACATTTAACAACATTTCTTCTGTGAAAGGATAGCCATTGATCAATTTAAAGGTTCATGATTTGTCAGAACAAAGAGGGATACATGGGAAAAATAGAACAATGCTAATTGCAGGATGGATCAAGTTTTCATGAAAAAATAGTTTTATGCAGAAGCTGTCTGATGGCATGCATACTTTCCTAGATGAACACAGTATCTTCAATTAGACTGTCATTGTGTTGGTATTTCACTGACATTTTGAAGGATGGTGAAGAAATTGGATGGGGAGATGATGTGGTAGCAGATAGCAAGAAAAATACAAAGCCAAAAGATGATGACCTTTTCAGAGAAAGCTCCAGCGATGAAGAAAGATTGGACAATCTCTCCGAGGGTGCAGCTGATGACAACGACAATATCTCAAGTGATGTGAGTTTGTTATTTTATTTGATGAAAATCTGGAAAAAGCTGAAAATATCATGATAGAGTTTGGAGTATTTATTCAATGGTTGTCTGTGCATAATGCACTCTGATGAGATTAGTCTCAAGAACCATTATTTAAGGTATGACAAAAAAAAAGACATATAACTTTTGGCTTATGCATCACTGCTTCCATTGGAGTTATTTTCACAAAACTCCACTGTACATGGGTGGATATGTTTTCAAAGCTTATTTTCTAAATGTTTTCCAAATTCAGAGCTCCAAGGCAGAGTTATTAGCAGTTACTTAAAAGTTGGATATTGAAAGTGGGCAAGAGCACATGCTGGTGGAGGAGTGGAAGGAGCACTTAAGTGCTATGGTCATAGGCATCATCCAGGCCACATTAACTTCAATTTCAATTAAATTAATTCTTTCAGCTGACCTTTTCTTGCATAGTTTTGATTAATTAATAAAATTAATGACAAAGATATCAATAATGAAAAATCAAAGAGCTTGCTTCATATTTATTCAGAATTTCCCACAAAAGCTTATTGGGAACATATCATTCTTTGGGCAGGGCAAGTTTCATGAAGATAGCTCCATATATACTGAGTTGATACATAAAAGTTGAAAGTTATTTTCTTTTTTGCCCTTACCTGCATATATCTAGTAATATTTAATCCTTTAAAGTGCAAAAGATTTTCATTGAAAAAAAAATTCATATTTTTGTTGCAGACTCCTTGCATGCTATGTAAAAATTGTGGGGGAAAATGTAGCAATACCACATCTGTGCAATACAATTCAAGGGCATGTTTGTGACTCTTTTGCTCTGGTGGGAAATATTTATTCCACCAGCTCTCAGACAAAGCAAGATACAAGAGGTGGGAAATTATTTTTCCAGTAAACTATAAAGGGTTAACAAAAGGCATATATCTTCATCCAATATGTCAGCATTATGCCAATGTGCCACGGAGGTATGTGTTTTTTTTATTGCTACCTTTTGTGATAATGGCCATTAATCAGTTATGTCATGGTGCTAATATTGTCTGCCGACTAGCTTCAGCCTACATCCCAATCAATCATTCAGAATCCTCATTTTCATTTTTGCCTATAATTGAAGAAGACATGTAAATGTGAACAGGTGATATTATCAGATTAGTATCTGGAGAAGAACTTAAAGGGAAAATAGGACTTGGTCTGCTCCTGTTCTTGATGGCATTAGCTCAAGAAAAAATGTTCCATTTAAACTTGAAACCCATCTCATATTGGGACTGTCAAACCAGCCATGGCACCATTTCAAAAAGGTAATCCATTCTATCTAAAATTGCAAAAGATTTTTCCAAAGCTGCCTTCCAGTGATTTCATACCAATTGAAGTAGTTTGTGGCAGACCAGGTGCAGTTTGCCTAATTTATGTCATATTTTGGCCTAACCTGGCTTGGATAATGTGGTAGATTTCAAAACAAGGTGCCTCTTGATTTTGAGTAAGCTTTCTTTCAGACAGGAGGCCATTGCATATAACCCACATTAAACTTTTTTCCTAAGACTGTGACCCTCTTGGAACTTGATCAACCAGTTTTGTTCCAGGCCTTTTCACTGATGGATCCATTTTTTATTAAATTCAGAATGAGGCTGCACAAGGCAGCAAGGACAAAGTTGCAAGCTAAATTCAAGAAATGCTTCATCTCACAACCAAATATATCATTCTCCCCCTTCCACCTCCCAACGTTTGCATAGCTCTATGATATTTGTGTACACCACTTTCTCTCCTGTTTCTAACTCTCACTGAAAATTGATCAACTTTTGGTCTGGGCTAGCCCAACTTTTCAATTATTGTGCACCCCATCCCAAACCACTCTAAAAGGACAAGTATGTCAATTTAAATTTGATATAACTATATATTTGCTTTAGTAGTAGGGTTTCTTCTACATTTTGGATGAAGACATTGACATCGCTTCATGTCTCAAACAAAAATGGCAAACATAAAGAAACTGAAGTGTACAACAAACAAACCAATCCAAGAGTTTGCATGAGTCCTCACCCTTCACTTTAATGCTTGGCCAGGATTGCATTGTTGACTAAGGAATTTCTTCATTCTGGCTTTTATGTTTGCTTTTACTAAATATTGATGAACTAGCATTGGTTGAATACTACATCAATTTCAGAGAGTGAGACCAATTTTCGATGCAAAATTGGGATAGCAGAGACCTAATATTTGCTGTTAACATTTGTAAATTCATGTTGAAAGGTGTTGTTCCCATGATGCTACTCAATATTAGCTTGCATAAATCTGAAAGTCACTTGGAAGTAGTTGATTACTTCCTCAAAATAATTTGCAGAAGCTGGCAAAGCAAGCAGACTTTGCCTCTGAATTAGCAGCTCGTCTCAGAGTGGCAGCAAGGATGACTGACACTGATGGGGCTGAAGACAAACCAAGAGCACAAGCTCCTTCTCAAGTGAAGAAAGAACACACAGGTACCAGTTTTTTATTTTTTCTTGGCAGTCAGTGAGTGATTATTTCCTCTCAGTCACTTGAACATTGTACCCATTGCATTCTATTGATAAACAAAATGTTTTTCTCTTTTTTTTTTTAAATGACATACCAATTGCAAATTGTTTTATGCCCATTTCTTGTTGCATCACTGTCCAGAGTTTCTTAGACTGTTGTATCATTGGGCAACTCTGGTATTGATGACTTAGTCTTTTCTCTAGGCTGTTTGGAAGAAGAATGGCCTTAGCCATTGCAGGATTGCCAAAAATGTCACAGGGCAAAAAAATACAAAATTCAATTGATTGGTGACACAGCCATGATTAATTAATCTCTTAAGATTTCTATAGATTAGTAACCCATAATCTTTTTTCAATAACTTTACAATGACATTGTCAAATTCATGATATTACATTGCAAAGCCTTTGCATCCTATGCACTCATACATTTACACTCTTGATTTTATTTTTAACAGGAGGCCTCTTTGATGATGATGGTGATGAGGCAGATTCCCCATTTACAAATCCCTCATACATCTTCTCCTCTATTGCTTCTCATAAAACAGATGAAAATCATCCCATAAAACAGCCTGATGCAGCCAAATCATCTCAAGTGATCTCCACAGCCACAGGTATAAATCCTCACCCCAGAAAATTTCAGCTGAGAATAAATTAGGTCTATGGAGTACAGTGGTGTAAGTCCAAGAATGCACTTCATGATGTGGAAAAGTTCATAATATTTTTTTTATTAGAAAAGTCCAGGCATGTGATGGAAATTTCATTCCATGGTATCATAACTATTAGATAATAAATTTATATGTTCATGATGTTAAGTTAACATACGATACAAATAGTTCACATACTATGTGTCTTGGAAAAAAAATAAACTTAAACCTCTCAAACATGCTCAATGATTGCTTTCACAAAGTATATTGACCTAGTCTCTCTGTTTCAGGTGGAAGAGATGAGAGTTTTATTGCTGCAAAGAAGCCTCTGCAAACAGGAGGCCTATTTGATGACTCTGATAATGAAGATGACCTATTCACTCATCCATTTCCCAAGCCATCAATTCCTGGAATTCAGAGTTTACAGACAAAGGGGGATAAGCCTTCTGAAAAGTCTTCACATGAGCAAGGACAGACAGACAGGCAGAGGTTCTTTGATGAATCAAGCAGTGATGAGGATATATTTACAGATCTTCCAGCAACAGTTCCGAAGAAATCAGAACATGTTCATGAGAAAAAGGTTAATCCATAAAATGAATAATGCAGTGTACCCTCATTTGTATATAGTCCTGAGTTTCAAAGCGTATACTACTTAACTTTACTCCTCTAGGTTCCTGTTGGTGGTGTTTCAATATTTGGGACTCAGATGCCTTCTTTGGTGGCAGCTGTGAGAGCTGAGAAAGAACGCTCCATGTCTGGAAGCACACTCCCATCAAGTGCCACAGATCAACTTGCACCTGTTCTTCCACAGTTTTCTGAAGGTTTTCATCAGGGTGGTGCTTCTATTGAAGAACCTAATCATCCTGTCCTGAAAAGGTTGGTGTCTTTTAGTGGCTTATGTTCTCAAATGCCACTTTCACTTTCTTATTTTTTGTGGGTTTTTTTTCACATAGCCCTCTCTTTTAGATCAGGTAGAAGTACCTTCATTCACAGTTTTTGAGAGGTAAAATTGTAAAATTGGAATCTGAGGAAGTGGATTTTAATTCTCTGCTTCATGAGAAGAGGAATTGAAAGTCTCTTCCCAGTCTTCATTTGTGGATGAATATCATTACATTTATCTGCAAATTCAATGTCAAATGGGACTGTGAATTAACTTCAAGGAATGTTTTTTTTACTTTTAGAAGTGATCCCCTAAAGAGGCTACTCCCCACAATTCTTCTGATTTTGACTCAGGAATCATATTTGTAGTAGTTCAGCATGTGGGGTACTCTTCACACCACACCTTCTCTCCTGAGATTGTTCTCTTCAAGCATGACATTCTGTAGGCCCTGCTACCCAGCAGTGTGCCAAAATACTATCAGTCTATTCCGTGGCAAAATTATGGCAATGTCACTATAACATCATTAGTGGCTGCAAGCTGGCATTGATGATAATGCTCACACTTCAAACCTTCCATATAACACAGCTAAATGGTTCCCAATTTCTATGAACCTTTGAAGTGCCATTTCTATATGAGGTGGTAAGGCTTAACCTTATTGTTTTCATGTGTTTTCCTGTATTTCTCAGTCCCTGCCCTGTGCACTGACTAGATCTGAATGTTAGTGGGAGGAGCTATTCCTGGTGTATGTGATACGTTGAGCCAAAATCTGGCAATTGCCATTCCTGGCTAGATGCCAGTTCCACACCTCTGTCTCCCCTCCCATCTCCCCTTCCTCTACACACTCCTTTTCCAGTTGGGACACATCTCTCAGTCACTCACTGCACTGCCTTTGTGTGTTTACCTTTGTATCCTATTCCTCTTGTTTCCTATTGGGGGACAGCACAGCTAAGCAGATGTCAGTTTTCATCCTTAAGCAATCATTGCTACTTATAATTGCAAATAGAAGATTTCATCTGTGTGTGCTTGACTTTCTAGATACATTAATGCTTTTATTGTTTTTTTTTTTTCCAAGTGGTTGATCAAGTAAGCATACTCCAAGACCTGTCAGTATAGCTTGTACCAAAAGTTAGGCACTGAAACTTCTATTTGCAAATGCCTCATTACAATTGTTCTCTGTTGACAGAGTCCAATAGTAATTTGGAAAAACTGCTTGAAACAGACATTCAATTCCACTCTGATAGTATTATGCATTTATTACAATTTCCAAGCAATTGTACTTCATGAGCACAAACAATATACCCATTTTGAAGTAAAAAATAACTTAGGATGATGTGTACATATATTGCAGGCTCTGCAAAATTGCAGGTGGATGTAAATCATAGCACTTGGGTTTGGCCTGTGTTGGTTACTTTTCTTTGAGGTATTTGATAACCTGGCTACAACTTTTCTCCATTATTATTGTTTCCCTTGTCAATAGCCTCCTACAGGGTTGTCAGGCACATGAAAGGAAAGAAACTAATGTTACTTTGGTGAAACCCAAGTACTATGACTTTTTATCCAACTGTTGTTGAACAGAACTTATAATATATGAGTAGTATTTCTTCTGAAGTTATTTTTACTTCAAAATGGATGTATAATACAGGAAACTTTAGTTAATCTGGACTTGAGGGGACTGGTGATTTTGTTCAGATTATCAAAAACCTGCCTGACTGGCCACTCATTTTTACTTCTTTTTTTTTCCAATGCAGAAGTCACTGCCCCAGTTATTTCAAGCAGTTGACTCCCAAGAAACCTAGAATTTTCTTTTGATGGACAAAAAAGCACGACTAGGTGCACTTTCTAGAGACAACAGGGCTCCACTCTCCTCAGTGCTCCTAACAATGTGTGCATGTTTCTGTGAAAGGTGCTTCCCCTCCTTCATGGAAATGAATGCAAAACGTGCACTTTGCATTTGTTTCTGTGAAAAAGGGGCACCAGGCCAGACAGCATGGACAACAGAAAACTTTTTTATTTTGTATTACATTGCCTTTGAAGCAAGTCAGTGGAGTGGAGAATAGTCCAGGGCATTTGAAGACTCCCCTATATAAACCAAAACTACAGAATAATGACGTCTGGATGAAGTGGATAGTTTTTTTCATAGGTTCTATGGGACTTCTGCCAAGAACATTCCTCATGTTTGATTTACCAGGAGATCTGGATTAATGAGAGTTGACTGTATTTGTCTGGGCTACACATACATTTGAAAATAGTCCAAATGTGGAACCACATTTTCTGTATTCATCTTCTACTTTTACTTTCGTCCAGTCAGACTCCTTTACTGACTTAGGCTGCATGGCAAATGATAATTTATTGCTTAGCTATATTTAATCATGTGAAACCTGAATTCTTAACAGTCCTAACTTAATGAGCTAGCGCTTATGACGTCCTGTTGACCCAGTCAGTCAAGATGAAAATATAAATTTACTAATTTGTTCTAGATAAGAATTTATTTTCCAGATTAAAAAGCCTCCTAGAACACAAAGAATGCTAACAAGACTTATCTTGATACAAAGATGCTGGCATCTGCAATTTAAATTCATATATGGGCTGGAAGTGGTTTGTCCTTTGCCTTCATAAGGAGTGTTCTTTTCTTTCTTAATTTGTTGTTGCAGATCTGTTCCAAGCATCTTTGATAATGGTGATGATGAAATAGAAAGTAAAGATTCCCTTCCTGGGCAAGAGGCTCATGATTCTGGGAAGACAAGAGTCACCAAGATTACTGAGAAGACTCGAGTATCAGAACCAGCTACAGCAGTGAGGAAGGAAGCAGCTGTGGAGGGAAAGCCAAGGGCAGTTTCCCAAGGACTCTTTTCAGACAGTGACGAGGACGATTCCCTATTCATTGGCAATATGGCAAACCCTGTGAATCCAGTAAAAGTGCCTTCTCCACTATTACCTGAAAGGAGCAATGAGCGTAATTCCAAAGTTCATGAAAAATCTGGAAAGCATGAGGAAGTAGTGCCTTCTCTGTTTGATGAACGTGGAGATGAGTTTTTTCAAGGAAACAAAAGAAAAACTGGTGAAGCTTCCATGAAGCCTCCATCAGTAGTACCCAAGCCCTCACTTACCACAGCCCTTGAAGGAAAGCAAGCAAGGAAGTTGAAGGGTCTCTTTTCTGATAATGATTCGCTGTCTGACGCTGAAGTAAACACAAATTCAACTAAAAAATCCACACCTACCATGAGTCATGGTGCCTCACTATTCTCAGATGAAGAGAGTGAAGATGATGATAATTCATCTCCTGCACCTAAAAAGGAATCCAAGCCTGTTAAAACCTTGGATGTGAGGGACTCAGAAGGCTCATCTATCCAGAAGCCAAAGCAATCTCCCATCCTTGACAAGAGGACAGGTGCTTCAGTGAGGAATATGAATGATAATCCAAAGCGTCTTTCAAGTTCACTGTTCAGTAGCAGTGAGAGCGATTCTGAACCCAGTACTTTGCCGCTGGTACAAAATGCAAGCGGGTCTGCCACTAATGATACCAACAAAATGTCTTTTCATCCACCTAAGTATCCTCAGAGTTCTCCCAAGGAGCAAGCACCTTCCACCCACATTAGCAGACGTTCACCTGACATCATTCCTCCTACTCCAAAAGTTGGCAAGAAAGAGGAGGTTAAGGCTCTTGTGCCTCAAGCTGTCATCCCATCACTTTTCAGCAGTGATGAAAGTGAAAATGAAGCTGCACCTATTCAGATACCTTCAGTTTCTAAACAAGAACATGCATCAGCAGTTACCTCTCTTATTCCATCAGCTGAATCCCCACAGAAGCCAGCTCCATCTCCAGCATTTATCACTGATCCTCTCTCTGCCTCCTCAGTGCCTGAGAAAGATGAACAAGAGCAGAATCCATTGTTCCTGGAAGGCTCTTTTCCACATTCCCCTGCTAAACTACCTACTGAAACTTGGAAAGATCCTTTTTTCACTTCCCCAATATTGAATGGCAGCAAGAGAGAAAACACCTCATCAGGACCATTCAAAGATACAAAGGAAAGTATTGTTGATTCTTCTGAGTCTGCATCCTGTTCTCTGGAGAAACCAAACCTTCAGTCCAAGGTTTCTTCACTTTTTGATAGTGATGATGATGAAGAATTTGCCTCTCCTGTCAATCCCTCTGAAACTTCTCATGGAGACTTCAAGTCTGACCTGAACAATTCATCAATTGATGGCAAGTCAAAAGCTGAGTCAATAAGTGAAGGAAGCAGAAGTATCAGATCTGTAGAGGAGTCAGATGCCATGACAATACTCAGTGAGAGTCCTCCCAAACTTCAGCCTTCAGATAACCAGAAAGAAAAGGAAAGAGTGGAAGAAGTCAAATTGCCTGCTTCTCCCATTTTGTTTGAAGTCACAGATTCAGGGACTCCCAAGGGTGTTAATGCAATTGACAGCCCAAGTTCCATGCCAAAGCTGCCTGTGAGAGAAAAGCCTCCCATACCAAAGAAGTCTTTGAAAACTAGTCTCTCAAGTGAGCGCCAAGGATTTGCTTCAAAGTTAGACTCAATGTTTGGAGGAGAAAGAGTGAATAAAGGGGCAAAGAAGCCCATTGGAGGAGTGGCACTGTTTGGAGGGTCTTTAATACCCATCCCTGGCAAGCTGCTCACTTCCAAGAGTGTGAGTGATGCACGCTTTGAATCCAAGCCCAAGGTACATGTGAGTGACAGCGAAGATGAAGGTGAGATCATGATCCTATTTTACATTTATCATTTTAAAAATGATATGTTCAGAATTTCCACAGACTTGGGAAGTCAAGAAAATGGAGATTAGGGATCATAAAGATTTGGAGAAAGCAAGGAAATTTTCCCAATGTCCTTGAACTCAGGGAAAAGTAAAAATTGTGCAAACTATTGAAGAAAGTACAGGGAGGTAGAGATTGGAAAGTTGTATATAAAAGTACACATTTTTATATAGAAAATTATCCTCAAAAAGACCTGGAAAGCTTTAATAAATTAAGATAATTGTTTCTCTGTGCAGAAACCTTGTGTGTGTCTGACAGTCCTAATGCTCGATCCTCTGGTTGTTTCATTTTTAGACGCTGGAGAGGAAGAAGAGGAAGAAAAGCCAAGACGCAGTGTCCAAGAGCTGGCAAAGTCCTTGTCCATGTCAATTATCCCACAAAGCCATCTCCCTGGGGCATCTCCATCTTTCAGGTCCTGCCTTGAAAGTGGAGTCAGCATTGAGGAAGCTGCCCAAGTCAACATACTCCCTTCAAATATCAAGGTCTGTCTTGATTTAAATCATTGTAAAGGGAGTCAAATATTTCATCTTCCAAGGATGCTTATTTGCCATGTTTACTGCATGGATTTTTCTTTGTCTCCTGATGCTCTTTTCTTTTTTCTTTTATATGTCAGGACCGAGTGAAAGTGCCCACTCGTAGGAGACTCCCTACTAGCAAGAAGCGGCGTGAAACATCCCGCATCTCTGGTGTGGACTTCCTGAATGCACCTGATGCCCCTGATATGGCATTGGACAACTCAGAGGATGCAGTTCAAGGTGCAGAAGGTGTAAAGTCCTGTGAAGGCTCTGCAGAAAATCAAAGCATTGAAGAAGAAAAGCCAGCTGTAAGCCTAAAAGCCATGATGATCCCTCCAGAGCCTCCTCCTCCACCCATGCAAGATCTACCAGACATAAATAAGGAAGTGCTGAAATCCAAAATAACTCTCAAATCAGAAGTTGCCAACAGGAGATCCAAATCTCCAGTAGAACCTGTATCTGAGCAATCTCCCATCAATCTCAGAACAGGCTCCCCTGATCTTTTCCCTGATGACAGAGAAACAGAAGATCTCTTTTCAAAGCCATCAAAAACTGCAAGAGGCCTTTTTGCTGAGGCAAGACCATCTGCTGACAAAGGGGATGATGAGGATATCTTTGCTGGGCTGAAGAAAGAGCCCACTGAAAGCAAGAAAAACTTGTCACTCTTTGATGATCTGGACTCAGATGGTTAGTTTGACATAAGGTCACTACCTCTCTCTTCCATTCTGGTTCATGTGTCTCACCTTGAATGAAATTGTCTTGCTACTTTCAGATGACATATTTTCTGACTTGAAGGGCAAGAAAGGCACTGAGTGAGCATCTGAGGCTGCATTGGGAAAATCAGTGTCATTTGTTTTTTGACCAGCTCTCAGGCAACTCCAAGTACTATATTCAATTACTTTTTCACATTTCAAATCTCATTTTCTCTTTACTGTAGCACAAGACACTGATGTAGTAACATCTAACTTAGTCGGAACTTGCAAACTATATATATATATAAAGAACTATACATTCCTACTAATTAGCCAATCAGCATATGCATATCTCATTCTTGCCTTGTTCAGTTTAATTCATTAACTGCCAGCATCTAAAGCTTCTAGCCAGATAGTCAAGCATTTTAGATATTTTTCCAAAATTTACTATCCCTAGAACCTAGAAGTATGTGATCAAAATGTAAACAAAGCCATCTGTTGGTCCTGTCTAGCATCTGAACTAAACTGGGTTAACTCAGATTCAAGACCATGACCACTAAATCTGCTGTGAACAGAAGTGAATGAGTTAATACAAATGATGAAGTTTCTTTAGAGTTGCAGTTTCACTATGCCTCATTAATAAGAATAAAATATTAGAAGAGTAAGGCTATTTACACATCAGTTTGTATCCTTGTTTCATGTCATGGCTCTGGAACACTTTAAGGTGATTACAAAATTTATATGCTCCATATGTATGAATGAGAATGATGAAACTTATGAAGTGGGAAGTTTTTATTTGCATAAGGGGAGTGCCTAAAAGTTTTGGAATGGTTATGGGCTTTTTCCAGAATTTGCAGTTGGAGTGTGGAATTATGGTGTCCCAGTCTCCTGCTACTCAACATAGCCCATTTCTAGTCTATGAAGAAAGTCCAGAAGAGTTGAAAGGTTTTTGCACCTTAGATATACAACAAAACTAATAAGGGGCATTAGAAGTTGTGCAAAATCGATTTCATTTTGTCTACCATTCCTCTGATTCCATGCATCTTCAATAATTCCTATACAGTATCTAGTCGAATGTTTTGCTTTGTCTTTCAGGAAGAATCTGTCCAACTCCCTTTCCCTTGTTCTGCTCTCAACATGCTATGGTCTCCTATAGGGACATGCAGAGGTAAATGGTTAAAGTTTCTTGTGCTGTGACTTTGACCTTTTGAGAAATGAGAGTCATTGAAAAAGCCCCATGTCCTGTTGCAAGTCACTGCAGGAACCTGTTGATTATTACATTCAGGAAGTTTATTTTTCAAATTGAAGTTCTGTTTATCAAGGATCAGCTGTCTATCTGCTAAATGTCTCACCTCGTTGAAATTGGAAATCAATTGATTGCTTCTGAAGAACTTGGTGATATTGTGAAACCTTCCATGCTCCTTTTGTACTTCCTATGTGCCTTTTTCTATAGCAGCATTTCAGAATCAAAATAACTATTTTTCCTGGAAGAAATCCTTCAGACTTCTCTTTAAAAAAAAAAAGTACAATGTGATATCATCTATGAAAAAGTTTTTATGGAATGCCAGAAATAAAGACTATTTCTTAATATTGTCATGCCCATTTACTTCACATCCAGACGACCCACTTCCTTTTCGGTTCTCTCATTCATTCACCAAAGCTTCAAGTTTAGAAGCCACTTTAATCAGTGATCATGCCTATGGTGTTTTAATTGCGCAACAGATATGGTATGTGACCAGGAGAATTCAAGGATAATCAAATGAAAGGAAGTAGCACCCCCAACATTCAGACCTGATGTTGATTCATATGGATTACCATCCATTGCTAGGGAATGACGGATCTCGCTTTCGTTATCGTTACTCATTCCGATTATTTGATGCCTAATTCCATAAGCTCATCTGGGTCAAACAGAGAAAAGTTATGGGACCGAGGCATTCGTCTTTCCAGCTGCTTTAAGTCTTGGAAGCAGGACGAAGGGATTACAGCGGCAACGAGCCTGACTGGAGGATATACGATGCTTGTGCTATCTCTGTTTTCACACGGTATGTAAAGCATCTGATGGGTTTCTCGTGGAATGTCTCGCAGCTGCGGACGTATCACTGTGGAATCCACTGGAGTATTGCCTGTGAGCGGTGCCGTGCCTTCTTTCTCTTGAGACTCCCTGGGGATACTGGATCACCTGAAGGTGGGTAGATTCATTCAGCAGTTGCCTCCGGGCTGATGGCATTGTGAAATCCATTTCCGTCTCGTTCAAACCCACGTATGCCTGTTCTCGTGTCTAGGTGCTTTGTTCTTGACAGGTGCGTCTTTTGCTTTTCTTCGAACAACTCTGAGATAGCAAAACTTTCTAACCGTTTCGTGGTCATTTCTATAAGTTGATCTATCGTATTGACTTGATACATTCAGTCACGCATTCGGAAATCTCCGATATATGGCTCACGCGTCTACAGCCCAGAATGGGAATTCTCCGATATGACATGTCAGCATTAAATTTAAAAAAAAAACTAGATTAAACTACTAAAGGAAAATGTGTTCATTCATTTCAGTAATTTTGGTATATATATGACACAAATATTCAACTGTTATCAAATAATTCATCGTAAGCAGGGCCGGATTAAGAAGTTACGAGGCCCGGGGCAAGTGAATTCTTGGCCCCCCCCCCCCCCC